TATATCAATGATGAGGTAGAATGTAAAGAAATAAGAAGCGATGAAATGGATATGACTGAGTCTGTCTGGGCAAAAATTAAATTGGGGAAGAAAACTATTAGAGCCTCCCCTGGGATAGTGCTTGGGGTGTGCTATAGACCGCCGGGATCTAATTTGGATATGGATAGAGTTTTTAATGTTTTTAATAAAGTAAATACTAATGGAAACTGTGTGATCATGGGAGACTTTAACTTCCCAGACAGAGACTGGAGGACAAGTGCTAGTAATAATAATAGAGCTCAGATTTTCCTAGATGCGATAGCTGATGGATTCCTTCAGCAAGTAGTTGCTGAACCGACTAGAGGGGATGCCATTTTAGATTTGGTTTTGGTGAGTAGTGAGGACCTCATAGAAGAAATGTTTGTAGGGGATAATCTTGGCTCAAGAGATCATGAGCTAATTCAGTTCAAACTGAACGGAAGGATTAATAAAAATAAATCTGCAACTAGGGTTTTTGATTTCAAAAGGGCTGACTTTCAAAAATTAAGGAAATTAGTTAGGGAAGTGGATTGGACTGAAGAATTTATGGATTTAAAGGTAGAGGGGGACTGGGATTATTTTAAATCAAAGCTGCAGAAGCTATCGGAAGCCTGCATCCCAGGTAAGGGGAAAAAATTCATAAGCAGGAGTTGTAGACCAAGCTGGATGAGCAAGCATCTCAGAGAGGTGATTAAGAAAAAGCAGAAAGCATATAGGGAGTGGAAGAAGGGAGGGATCAGCAAGGAAAGCTACCTTATTGAGGTCAGAACATGTAGGGATAAAGTGAGACAGGCTAAAAGTCAAGTAGAGTTGGACCTTGCAAAGGGAATTAAACCCAATAGTAAAAGGTTCTATAGTCATATAAATAAGAAGAAAATAAAGAAAGAAGAAGTGGGACCGTTAAACACTGAGGATGGAGTGGAGGTCAAAGATAATCTAGACATGGCCCAATATCTAAATAAATACTTTGCCTCAGTCTTTAATAAGACTAAAGAGGATCTTAGGGATAATGGTAGCATGACAAATGGGAATGAGGATATGGAGGTAGACATTACCATATTTGAGGTAGAAGCGAAACTCAAACATCTGAATGGGACTAAATCGGGGGGCCCAGATAATCTTCATCCAAGAATATTAAAGGAATTGGCACAAGAAATTGCAAGCCCATTAGCAAGAATTTTTAATGAATCTGTAAACTCAGGGGTTGTACCATATGATTGGAGAATTGCTAACACAGTTCCTATTTTTAAGAAAGGGAAAAAAAGTGATCCGGGTAATTATAGGCCTGTTAGTTTGACATCTGTAGTATGCAAGGTCTTGGAAAAAATTTTGAAGGAGAAGGTAGTTAAGACATTGAAGTCAATGGTAAATGGGACAAAATACAACATGGTTTTACAAAAGGTAGATCGTGCCAAACCAACCTGATCTCCTTCTTTGAGAAAGTAACAGATTTTTTAGACAAAGGAAACGCAGTGGATCTAATTTACCTAGATTTTAGTAAGGCATTTGATACCGTGCCACATGGGGAATTATTAGTTAAATTGGATAAGATGGGGATCAATAGGAAAATTGAAAGGTGGATAAGGAATTGGTTAAAGGGGAGACTACAATAGGTCCTACTGAAAGGTGAATTGTCAGGCTGGAGGGAGGTTACCAGTGGAGTTCCTCAAAGATCGGTTTTGGGACCAATCTTATTTAATCTTTTTATTACTGACCTTGGCACAAAAAGTGGGAGTGTGCTAATAAAGTTTGCAGATGATACAAAGCTGGGAGGTATTGCCAATTTAGAGAAGGACAGGGATACCCTACAGGAGGATCTGGATGACCTTGTAAACTGGAGTAATAGTAATAGGATGAAATTTAATAGTGAGAAGTGTAAGGTCATGCATTTAGGGATTAATAACAAGACGCATCAATTAGAAGTAACGGAGGAGGAAGAGGACCTTGGAGTATTGGTTGATCATAGGATGACTATGAGCCGCCAATGTGCTATGGCTGTGAAAAAAACTAATGCGGTCTTGGGATGCATCAGGAAAGGTACTTCCAGTAGGGATAAGTAAGTTTTAGTACCATTATACAAGGCACTGGTGAGACCTCACCTGGAATACTGTGTGCAGTTCTGGTCTCCCATGTTTAAGAAGGATGAATTCAAACTGGAACAGGTGCAGAGAAGGGCTATTAGGATGATCCGAGGAATGGAAAACTTGTCTTATGAAAGGAGGCTCAGGGAGCTTGGCTTGTTTAGCCTAACTAAAAGAAGGTTGAGGGGAGATATGATTGCTCTCTATAAATATATCAGAGGGATAAATACCAGAGAGGGAGAGGAATTATTTAAGCTCAGTACCAATGTGGACACAAGAACAAATGGATATAAACTGGCCACTAGGAAATTTAGACTAGAAATTAGATGAAGGTTTTTAACCATCAGAGGAGTGAAGTTTTGGAATAGCCTTCCAAGGGAAGCAGTGGGGGCAAAAGATCTATCTGGCTTTAAGATTAAACTCGATAAGTTTATGGAGGAGATGGTATGATGGAATAACATGGTTTTGGTAATTAAATATTCATGGTAAATAGGCCCAATGGCCTGTGATGGGCTATTAGATGGGGTGAGATCCGAGTTACCAGGAAAGAATTTTCTGTAGTATCTGGTTGATGAATCTTGCCCATATGCTCAGGGTTTAGCTGATCACCATATTTGGGGTCGGGAAGGAATTTTCCTCCGGGGCAGATTGGAAGAGGCCCTGGAGGTTTTTCGCCTTCCTCTGTAGCATGGGGCACAGGTCACTTGCTGGAGGATTCTCTGCTCCTTGAAGTCTTTAAACTACGATTTGAGGATTTCAATAGCACAGATATAGGTGTGAGGGTTTTTTTTGTAGGAGTGGTGGGTGAAATTCTGTGGCTTGCGTTGTGCAGGAGGTCAGACTAGATGATCATAATGGTCCCTTCTGACCTAAATATCTATGAATCTATGATTTGGAAGGGTCTCAGGAAGATCAAAGGCTTCAGAGGCACTATTTGCCCCATATGCTTGAGCTACTCTTATACTCCTCCTCAGCAATTCATCCATGTTTCAACTTTTTGTAGGATTCCCTTTTGATCTTCTGGTCATTAAAGAGCTCCTGATGGAGCCATATTGGCCTCTTACTATTCTTTCTTTCTATCTTTCCTTTGCACTGGGATAGTTTGCTGTTGTGCCTTTAATATTTTCTCCTTGAGAAACTGGTAGCCCTCCTGAATCCTTTTAGTCCTTAGATTTTCTTCCCCTGGGACCTTACCTACCAGTTCTCTGAGTTTGTTAAAGTCTGTTTTTTTTTTGAAGTCTATTTTCCATATTCTTCTGCTCTTACATCTTCCATCCTTTCCTTAGAATCATGAAATCTATCATTTCATGATCACTTTCACCCAAATTGACTTCTACCTTCAGATTTGCAACCAATTCCTTCCTGTTAATCAGAATCAAGTCTAAAATGGCTGTTTGCCTGGTTACTTCTTCCACTGTCTGAAACAAAAAGTTGTCCCCAATACACCAAGAACTTACTGGAACTTTTGTTTTTTGCCATATTACTTTTCCAACCTATATCTATGTAGTTAAAGCCTCATATTACTACCTGGTGATTTAGATATTTCTGTTATTTAATCTATAAATGCCCCATTCACCTGCTTTTTCTGATTTGGAGGCATATAGTAGACTCCTACCATGACATCACTGCTATTTTTTGTCCCTTTTATCTTTAGCCAGAGACTTTCAACTGGTCTGCCTCTCACCCTCCCTCTGGACCTCAGGACAAGTATATATATTCTTGATGTATAATGCAACACCACCTCCCTTTTTACTCTTCCTGTCCTTCCTGAACAAGCTATACACCTCTTGACCAATATTCTAGTTATGAGACATTTCACACCAAGTCTCTGTAATGCCAGTTAAGTAATAATTTATTTTATGTACTAGCACTTCCAGTTCTTCCTGTTTATTCCTAGTACTCTATGCACTGGTTCCTCTTGCTGGCTTTCGTCAGTAGGGACATGCAGGCTGCATTCCCAGCAAGTTGAGACCAGGGCCTGGGTGGAAGTATTTCAGGGTCATTATGCCTTTCTGTCGGGGGGTGGGACCACAGGGGCAGGCAGAGGAAGAGCTAGCAGTGGTATTGACAACAGGCTGTTTTCCTCCCATTGCAGGTCCTTCCTTGTAGATTACTTCCAAGTTAAGAAACAGGAAAAAAAAACCCCAGCATGCAGCCCTGCCTCCCTGCCCTCCTCCGCTGGTGAACTCAGCTGGCTAATTCCCTTAGTCTCCCAGCTACCTTCGTTTTACCAGCCTGTAAGATAGAACGAAAGAATGATGGAAGGGGATGGAGAAAGCAGAACATAATTTTTTTCTTTATTCCTTTTCTTTTGTTTCAAAAAAGTTGAGGGAAGGCCATTGTGAATGGATCCTAGACCAGTGCTTCTGCCGAAACAGCCCAAGCTTTCAGCATATGCTACAGCTCAGCTATTGCTCAATGGCACAGTCTAGACATATTTGCTGTTATTTTACCTGAACGAACACCCATTAAACCTTGCTGCATGTTACATGTTCACTTGTTAAAAAAGAGTTTTTTCACTTTATTCCTTGATTTGTAATTTCTAGAGGAAATGCTCTCATTATGTAACTTTTTTCCATTCTAGGTCATTCCTCGGGTTCTTCAAATATGTTAGGCTAGGAATATTTCTCTTCATTACTGTTTTCAAAATGATATACTGGAGCTTTTGAGATCTGTACTATTTATACAGCTCCTTGGAAAAGACTCCATACATTTAGAGTACATTTCTTAGCTGTCAAGACCAAAACCAAATCATAGGAAAAACAGAATTATTAGTATTTTGCACCATTACAAATGAGAGGTGGATTAGGTTCATGAACTAAGTAGTGGGAGGGAAATGAGCTCTAAAACTAATATCCCTTAACAACTCTCTTCCATACTGTACCTGTATTGCTCTTTTAGGAGGAGACAGAAGAGGATAGTGACCTGTCAGACAATGGAGATGATGTGGATGGTAAACGAGATGCTCTTGCTGAGCCGTGTTTCATGCTGATTGGAGAGATTTTTGAGCTGCGAGGAAGTAAGCTTTGAACTTGCTTGCTTATTAGTGGATTCTGTTGGTTAAGAAAAAAGCTAGGAAATATTGATTTTCACATGTCAAAATGAATCACTGTTTTCCTACCATTTAAATGAGTGGAGATATTTTTGCAATGTAAAACACTGATTTCTTTGGAAATCAATGTTTTTTAATTTCTGACTCTTCTGGGGATAAGCTCCCAATCATAACATTGCAGTAACAATGCAACAGTTTGGGAGTTTTGCATTAAATATTTGTAAGCTTCACCTCAGTTTAAAAATGTTCTATATTCCAAAACACAGGCAAAAATCAGAGTATGCTTTTGTGTCAGGATACTGCATTTTACAGTGAACTAATTCCAAGGAAAAGGAAAGTAGATGGTTTATCATATTGACATGCATGTGTCAAAGCAACATGACTTCCACATTCATTATAAAAAAAAGTGTCTTACTCCAAATATAACTAAATACATAGTAGACTTGAAGCAACAAAATGATAGAATTAGGAACTCATTTGGTGCTGGATCTTTCATGCTTTGCATGTCTGAGTAATGGCTGCATGATCAGGTCCATGGACAGAAGCATCAAACAGAACTATTTTGTGTCCACTAGAAGATGCAACTGTATTTAGCCACACATAGTATTTGCTTAAAAAAAATTTTGTTTTCAGAGCAACTATTCTAAAATATCACACCTTTCAAAATGCTGTAATTACATGCCCCAACCGGAGATCTTTGCAAATTCAGATCTTTCCCAAGACAGCCTTGTTAAGAGAGTGAAAGTTTACTGAGGATTTGACAGTTAGGAAGGAATATTCAAATTGTTCCTTCAGTTATTCTTGATGACAAGAAGCTGCCTTTTTTCTTTTTGCAAATGTATCCAGAATGTCAGTGCCATTGATGAATACCATATATCCTATTGTTAGATGTACAAGTGCAAAAAAAAGGCTTAGGAAGTAGTGCTGGGCCACAGTTAGTGTAAACGTTTAGGTTATATAGTCTTAAAAAAAGAAACCCTTCCAATAGGAACCAAAAATTAACAATGTAGATCTTTGCCTATATTTAAAAAGATATACAAAAATGGGAAATGGTTTAAAAATCATTATTTCTACTCCTTCCTATGATCTAAACTTGTCCTTGGCTATCTGCACAGAATAAAGAGAAGCATATCATTGGAATAATCACAGTTCATCCTTTCTATCAGAAGGAAGAAAAATCTAATTTTTCATTGGCTTTGATATTTGTAGTGTATAAATCCACTAGACATCATGTTCCAGAATATTAACTCTGTTTCTTCCTGTTCTTCTGTTTCTATAAATTGAAAACTTGAACTAGTGATTCCCATGTAGCATGGTTCTTTCAGTGTTATTACCAGTTATACCCAGGCTGTTTTTTCATATATCTTCTTCTTGGTAACATTTGATGTCCCTTATTTTTTATCTCTATTTGTGAACTTTCACTGTGTGGCCCCTGATAGGAAGGTGGCAAAGTTGAATCAAGTCATGCAAGGTCTAAGTGCAGTCGTAGGCCTTTGAGCGCTTCCATTGTTAGTCCTTGTTGGACAAGAGTAAACCACCATTGGGCTCAACATTGGCCTAGTTCTTTCCCATTGAAGCCAATGGGAGTTTTACCACTAACTTCAGTAGACGAAAAGTTAGGCCAGCACTGACGACTACTGAACATCCCACACTGCGTTTTTCTTTTCTTGCTGGCCAAGTTGGGATAGTAGCAAAAGGCCCTTTATCAGACAACAAGCTACAGTGCTACAGCACTCTTTTTCTGGCCAGTCTAGCTTTTGGGGGTCTCTGGGCAAGGAAAGCTCCCCTAGTTTAGTTCCAACATGGTCAAATCATGAAAAAAAAATGACTAACGTAATGATTGAACCTAATGACCGGAAGATTCTAAATGCAAGGGAAAAAAAGTAATTCTTGAACTTTAATTGTGCTACTGATGCACATTTTGAAGAGACAGTCCCATTTGGCTAACTTACTCATTTCCTGTGCAGTTCACTTTCTGCAGAGGAGAATTTCTAGTTAATTTTTTGAGATGCAGATCAATAGAGAAAAGAAGTGACCAAATTTTGTGAGAAACTTGAATGGTTTCCATGATGTCCAGTTTGCTGAATGGGTTTTTAAGGCTTTTATTTCTCTTTTTAGTAGTGCAGGATAGTTGAAGCTTATTCAGAGGAAAAACCCACTGCATTTTCAGTCTACATATTTTTTCTATATAATAATTTCTTCTGCTGCCTTAATGATTTTTGAAAAGTAAGGTGTCTCTCAGTACTTACAATATCAGTGCTTACACTATTGCAACCCACTGTGTTAGATATTTGTTTAATCGTTTATTAAAATGACAATGCTGAATTACAAACACTGTCCACAAAAGTCTCTTGTATTCCATGAACTCTGGGCAGCAAGCTACATTAGAGCTGGACGTGAACCACAACAGTAGCTCTTAATATGTGGCTGGGACTTAATCTCTAGTTGAAATGGAAATGCTACTGTCAGACACAGCAAGAACAAACATCCCAAATCTAAAAGAAGTGTGTTATTTCTTGCAGTCCCAGTGCAGTCATCTTTATTCTTTCTAGAAAGTTGAAGGAGCTAGTAAAGTAACCCAAAAATAACCGCATAGCAGGACAGACAGGAAAAAAAATCAGAAGTGAAAGAACTATGGATGTAAAGCTTGGAAAGTGAAACATTAATACAGATAATAGTAGATAAATGTATTGTAGTTTCTGTGTCATGATTGTGGAACCTAGAGAGTTACTGAATGTCTGGTCTTTATTTTCTTTCCTTTTTCATTATTCTAGTGTTTAAGTGGGTCAGAAAGACACTAATTGCACTAGTACAAGTCACTTTTGGAAGAACTATCAACAAGTAAGTAGCAGTTGAACTTTAACTCTGATTCTGGAATCATTGCTATATGAATAACTAACTGAAAGCAGACTATTTAAAAATATCTGTTGACATTCTGTTCATATAGTTAAGGCTCGGCCATTGTTGTCTTACTACAATTTAAAATTAAGTTTATTCTCATGTTGATCAGAGGGGAATCTAACACAGACGTACAAAATGGATCAAGAAGGGGCTCCCAAGGACCCAGGTTTAAATGAATGAAATCGGAGGGCCAGGGACCAGTCATCCCACCTCCTTCTCTGGCTGGCCAATGGGCGGGTAGTGTCTCTAGAAGAATAGGGTCCACCCTGCATTCCCCCAGCATGGGCTTTCTTCCTCCCCCTTTCTGCTGGGGCTGTCCCAATCACTGCTGGTCCCATCAAGTTTCCCATCCATTGAGGCAGGTGTGTGGCATTATGGTTCTGCTCCTATAATCTGTACCACAGTTCTGAAATCAAGATTGTTTCACAGGGATTTGCCATTTGTGGAATTAAATTAAAAAAAGAGCAAATATATTTCATTGGTGAGAAATGGGCGTGCTATAAAAATTGTCTGCTACTTTTTCCTTAAGAGTGAATTAGCACCTCACAGCTTATCAGATGCTATCCTGTAATTTCTGAAGGAGTTAAACATTATGCTGGTTTGAATGGCTTTTATTTTCTTAGTCTATCTGCTTTTCTTACGAACCCACAACATTTTCCCCAGATCTAAAACCTAGATTTTTGTTTTAAGCTGTTTCATTGTACAAGAGACTGTAAATTTACCTAAGTGACAGAAACCATTTTAAGTAGACAGTATGGGTGTGATTTATTTGTAAGGTAAAATAGCAACATATCATTACTCCTGTGCAAGCCAAAATGTCAGTTTTTCATTTGCATGGTTTACAACTCCAAGAAGACTTTTCCATGTTGTCATGAGGTTTAGGCCTGCAAAACGTGGCCATCACAGAGCTGGGTAAAAAGCTGGAAATCTCCTCATGAAAATTGTTGTGGAAAAACTTGTCCTTTCTTGGTTAAAAAAATGATAACTAATATAGCTCTTCTGCCAGGTGCAAAGGCCTGTAGTAAAATAGTTATTCGACAGAGCAGAAATTTGGTATCAAGGAATCTTGGTTTTTCCTTCCCACGGATCTTTGCTTGGTTTCATCATCAGAGCAGGCTCTAGAAAAGCATTTTAAAACTACTTTTTAAAATGAAACATAATTTGTTACTCTGCACTGTCATAAACTTTTGAAGCTTGAACACTATGTTTAAATGTCTGTTATCCTGTTGGTTTGCGAAAAGGTGTTGGCATAAAGCCAGCAGAAGGCACACAAGCAGATGGGTTTGAGTATTGGGAGTCTGCCTGAGTTATGGCAGCCTCCTGAGCTGCTTTGTTGGGTCACAGCTTTGCTTGGAATCTCTTCGGTACTGCATGCTGGGCCCCCATCACTGGTACACCACCTGCGCCAGGGCTTGACAGATGGTCCTCCAGAAGGCAGCCTTATGACAGTCTTCCACAGTCATTTTGCTGGGGGAATCCCCCCTAGACAGACTGTGTCACTTTGTCACTGTACCTGTAAAGGGCTAGAGATGGGGTAAGGATTTTACCCTAAATATTTCTTCAATAATTACTTGTCTGTGTAAGCAATTGCTGTAGTGGCTAAGGGATTTTAGGCAATAATGAATAGAAGAGAGGTAGTCCATGGGCTGCTCTCTTTTTTAGATGTGACCCACATTATGAACAAGTTGAAGAACGCCTGATGTGACTTCTATGTAAACCTGGAGTCATTCCGAAAGTCAAGGGAGTTGAGTGACTAGCTCCCATTTGTGCCTCTGATAATCTCCCCCTAATCTCTGAAGGCCATAACTCCATATTAAAGATGAAGGTGGTTGCAATCTGCTCCATCTAATGCTAATTACATGTGCTCCTCAGGATACTGGCAAATTACCATTTTGGAAAAGCTTGAGCACTTGGAGTTTGTATTATAACCTGTAATTCTTCTTGGGTTAAAACCTCCAAAAGTAAATCAAACCAAATATTTGTAATCATCAAAATGGCTGTAATGTGTTTCCATGTCAGTGTATGGTAACTCTTATTTGTAAGTGAAAAATCTACTCACTGACAAATAAATTGGGCTCTTTGTCATATTGGTTTTACCCTATTGGATAATGTTTTCCATTAGAAAATGGAGGACAGCTATGATAATGATAATTTCAAAAGTCTGTAAACTTCAGTTATTTCTGCAGTACTTTCACCCAGGTGAAAGATCACTGAGAATCTGACAAAGCAATATTTTACCTTATTTTAGCTATGATGCTGTCATACAGGTAGGTAACACATCCCAGAAATCAAATAACAGTACAGGGTGGTCCCATCATCCTTTCAGCAGCTGAAGTCGCACATGCCAGAATTGCTTTAACAGCCTCCCACAGACATTATCGAATGGAAAATCGGAGAAGAAATTATTGGAAATGTTATGGTTGAGCCCTGATAGACTAATGGCCTTTGACAACAGCTACTTACTGAGGTTTAAATTGAATTTTTTCCCCTTGTATGTTCACATAATGCAAATAGGTAGCAAGAAAAACCTTACCCCTGAGAGAGTGCACACTTTGAATGGGGTTTGGTTTTGTTGTTGGGTTTTTTTGCTCATGCATTTGTTTGTTTTTAAGTATTTAAACTGTGTTCTGATTTTTAAATTGTGGTGTTGTAGCAAAGCAGTTAGTATGGTAGGTCATTGCTCTGGAGCTGGTTGTATATCCCAGAACTTGAGTTCTTTAAGCAAAGAGTGCTCGAGATGATGCAATTAGCCACAGGAGGAGGTGACCAGCTCGATCAGTCACCCTGGTTACAGCACTGCCTGTGAAAGAGCTTCCTGGGTACATTTCTGGAAAAGCTTCATCCTATTTTATCCAGCTGGAACATATGCCCATACTGTCAGGTTGTGGTTCCCAACTACCATTTTACTTCTCAGTGTAGCTCATCACCCTCCTCTGCTTTTCCCGAGCAGCAGTGAGCCTTTGTACATGGCCCCACAGTGTGCTGCTACCGTCCACTCCTTTAAATGGGTGTGTTCCTTAATTGCACTGAGTTCCATCTTCTTCACATCCCAGTAGCATACATTTGGAGCAACCCAAGCCACATTTCCAGTAAGAGTGCACATAGCTGACTAGGAAGTGGGGGGCACTGGCCAAATCATCTGATATCGTAGGCTGATAAACCGGCACCATTTTATGAAGTTGGTCATGTCTTCCACCATTTGTCTGTGTAAAATCTAAACTATTAATTATGACACATTCCCCTTTAAATTTCTTTTTAAAGACAAATACGTGACACCGTAAGCTGGATATTCAGCGAGCCAATGCTTGTTTACTACATCAGTGTATTCCGAGATGCTTTCTGGCCAAATGGAAAATCAGCAGCCCCAACAAGATCCAAAAGTGAAGAGCAAAGTCAGGAGACAAAACAGAGAGCGCAGCAAAAACTACTTGAAAACATTCCAGGTGAGAACATCAGCGTTTCTCTACATAACCACATATGAAAGAAGTGAACGTTAAACCTACATTTTTCTCTTTACAGTTTAGATCGTACCTTCTAATGCTGAAAACAGGCACAATCTTGATCCCAGCCCTTATCCTTAGTGCCTCTGACAAGTAAATTGCAGCACTGTTCAGTGCAGAATGGGACTTCTATGCCCATGTCTAACATAACTAAAAAACTGGTAGCAAAGTCAGTAGAATCTGACTCTTCTCTTCTGGCTGAGATTTCAGAACCAGCTTCTTCCACCTCACAGTCTATCCTCATATTTGATTTTTATCTCTACGCTTCAAACAACACTGTTTTTAGTTTGAACCCTTTCATGAGGGTGTTAGATAAATTTTAGTGACTGTTCCCAGTCATTCCTTAGTGTCTCATTTGACCTTTGAAACTAACTAGATGATAATCATTTTTAGAATAAGATAGTAAAGCTAATCCAATTTAAATAAAGTAAAAAAAAAAAAAAAAGCAAAAAACCCCCAATACTTACGTGATTTGGGGGCATCAAATTGTGCACATAGCTGGCATATGTACCTGTGTGAACTTCTTCCTGTTGTCCTTGTCTGTAAGGTGAGAGTTTACGTAACTTTTTTCCAATGTAGACTACAACAATTTAGGGATAGAACCAGGAAAATAACTGAGAATTCCCATCTCTCAGTCCCATGTTCTAACCACTTCTGAGGAGCTTAACTGAATACACTAAGCTTTTCCTACAGATTACATCTCTTTTGCATTCAGTCAAAGCAGAGAACATTGTCGGCCAAAATTTTCATACTCTGATTTACAAGCCTCGATATGGATTTAGGAGCCTAACCTAAGTGGCCTGATTTTTTAGAAGTGCTGATCGCCCATCAGATCTCTTTAGCTTTATTTTGTAGATGTGGTCTCAGCACACTGAAGCTGAGCCACATGTTCCTGGCTAGATTCTAATAATGCTGTTAATACAGTTCCGGGAAAGCTTAGCTTGGCACAGGTCTCCCAGAGCAGTGTTCTTCAGAGGCAATCTATTCAGAAAACTCCGTTAGTGACAAATAACCTCATTCTCCCCCTCCCTCCGCCCCCCATTTATACTATGCTGAGAATGTTCTTCAGTTATTTGGAGGTTGTCTCTACACTGTTGTTGTTGTGCCACACATACAGCATGCCAGTATCATTTGGCTGTAGGAATAACCCCTACAGACTGATGCTCTTCCGGGTCTAGTGGTCATAAAACACCCATTCCTGAAATTTTCTTTCTTATTGTTTCAGTATTCCTCTTTATCGGTGGAACAGGTAGCACTGCCTGCTAAGATTGCCAGATACTTCCCATTATAACACTGTGATTTCAGTTGCTTATTATTCTGCCAAACTTTAACCATGTGGTCATAGGCAACCCTAATTCTGGCATTTCATAACTTCTGAGTGCTTAATTTTGCAACCTTAACATTCAGTTAATGTTTTGGTGTGTAATTAGTGTGTACTAAAATCAGGAGAATTTTTTGTTCAAGTTTGTGACCATCCAAAGAAGCCGAATATCTGGGAATATACAAATAATAAGCATATAGTTTTCTGCCAGAAAAACATGTTATAACTAGTGACTAGGAAATTAATAGTAAATCAGCTGATAATTGTGAAGGTAGATTTCAAATTTTAGCCTAATATAACTTAAATACCCTACTAGCTGATCTACCCAGCACCTGGATAGAGCAGGTTTAAATTACACATTTGACTGCTTCACTAAACTTTGTTATACACACACTTTTGAGTAATTTTTAATTTGTGTTCAACAGGCAAAACACAACACAAGGTGTGCATGGAAAATATTTGATATATAGTATAAAGCACATCATACTAGGCGTTTGGTACATTATACATACTTGGCTTAACTAGAATAGTCAATCATAGCTTCTTCATGAAAAACACAGGATGTCTAGGAGCTTAATTTTTCTGTAGCAAAATGGAATGTGCTGCATGTTGCTAATGGTCAACCAAGAAAGCCCTAGTTTTTCCTTCCTAATAAGACTTAATTCAAATTGTAAATAATTCATCTAGAAATTTATCACTGCTCTGTTTATTTGGAGATATGTAGGCTTTTTAATTTAGAGAGGCAAAACTCTGAGATCACGTCTCTCCCCTCAAATCACTTGTTCAGATTATCAGAAACTGATATTTTCAACTAATTTTACTAACTGTATCCCTTACCTACTCATGTTGTGTATGTGAATATTTGAATAATACATGAGAATACAGGCCTAATGCTCTGCACTGCTAAACACCTAATATGCCCAGTATATCTTTGGTAATAGCACTCAGAGGGTGTTGCCAAAACAGCGTAAACAAAATTCTGATTTTAAAGGTCTTTGACGCAGATGCTTAAGCATATGCCTAATTTTAAGCATGTGAGTAGTCTCATTCATTGGCAGCTCATATGTTTTAAGTTAAACATGTGCTTAAGTTTTTTGCTTAATAGGAGCCTGAATTTATAATTCTAACCCCCTGTCATGGTAAGTGGTGTCTTCTGGTGCACTTGCCATTAAGTAATTGTAAGCAGATATGGTTTATCAACATCAGGATGAAAATACAACCTAAAATGTTTGTTGCAGATACTCTACAGAGCCTTGTTGGACAACAAAATGCCCGTCATGGGATAATCAAAGTGTTCAATGCACTGCAAGAAACTAGAGCCAATAAGCATCTACTCTATGTGAGTAACCAGAATATTATCTGTGAATTTTATTATTCTACTAAGTACTGAACTAATGGCTCAGTATTCTAACCTTTCAGACTGATTTTTTCCTTGTGTTTTTACAGTGCCTGGCACAATGGGGTCCTGATCCATCACTGGGTCTCTTAGGTGCTATGACAATAAAAATAATTGGTAGGCTCAGAAATGTCAATATGCCTAGAAACAAGAAATTGTTTTCTTGCAGAGCTTTCTTACACTTAGAAGGTTTTTCAAAGCTTTTAAGGATTTCTTTCCCACTAAAGGGAAGTTGTAAAAATCTGCATTTACATTGTCATTTAGACTTCCTAATTTTGCATATTGAACAGGTGTTTAAAAAATCAGTTTTGGGGTGCTGCATGATGATATTGGCACATGGGAAATTAATGATAGTCCCATGCAGGGTGGACTAGATGAACCAGGTGATCCTATTATTTGTGATTATCTGAACATCTCAGAAAGGAGGTAGAAATTCTTATTTGCTGTTTACATTAATCTTAGTAGTTTTCCTTTTCTTTTTTCAGGTCTTGTTGGAACTGCTGCTAACTGAACTGTGTCCTGAGCTAAGAATTCATTTAGAGCAGCTTAAAGCTGCTCATGTTTGAATCTGCACAAGTGAACCACTAGAGAAATGTCTGTGTAATAATAGACATGAAACTTATCTTCCTCTTTTCCACAGAGGGCTGACTGAGGACTATTGAGTATTTTTTAGTTTTCTTTCTCCAGTTTTATGTGAAGTAAACAGACTTGAAAAGATCTGATGCTGTAGTAGGGTAGAAAAACAATGCTGCATAGTTGCCAGCTTTATTTAAATTGTTCTATTTGAATACTTTTTGGTTTAAAATACAGACTGAAATATAAATGTTAATATAAGTTGTAAGAATCTAGAAAATATTTTAAACGTTTATCAAAAATGAAGTTTTGCTTAATAGTGGTAAACTAATGAATGTTGTACAGTTAATTTCCTCATTGAGGATTTGAACCCTCCTTTATTGTGTATTGAAGAGCCTTGTTGTGCAATACTTCAGGTAAAGTTATTGTGAACATTTTATCTATTTTATTTTTACCAAATTTGAAGCATTTGTAAGCAATAAATAACAAAGTGGATTATGGTTGTCAGGATTCCTTCCCCACTCTAAACTCTAGGGTACAGATGTGGGGACCCGCATGAAAGACCCCCTAAGCTTATTCTTACCAGCTTAAGTTAAAAACTTCCCCAAGGTACAAACTTTGCCTTGTCCTTGAACAGTATGCTGCCACCACCAAGCATTTTAAACAAAGAACAGGGAAAGAGACCACTTGGAGACATCTTCCCCTCAAGCCCTACACACCCCCTTTCCTGGGGAGGCTTGAGAATAATATCCTAGCCAATTGGTTACAGAATCATCAAAGACCCAAACCCCTGGATCTTGAAACAATGGAAAAATCAGTCAGGTTCTTAAAAGAAGGATTTTAGTTTAAAAAAAAAAAAAAAAAAAAGGTAAAAATCATCTCTGTGAAATCAGGATGGAAAATACTTTACAGGGTATTCAGATTCAAAACACAGAGGATCCCCCTCTGGGCAAAACCTTAAAGTTACAGAAAACAGGAATAAACCTCCCTCTTAACACAGGGAAAATTCATATAAAACAAAAGATAAACTAATCCGCCTTGTCTGATTTACCTATACTGGTTGCAATATTGGAGTCTTGGATTAGGATGGGTTGGAGAAGATGGATTTCTGTGGCCTCTCTCAGTCCCAAGAGAGAACAAAATGTAAACAAAGAGCACAAACAAAAGCCTTCCCCCACCCCAAGATTTGAAAGTATCTTGTCCCCTTATTGGTCCTTTGGGTCAGGTGCCAGCCAGGTTAGCTGAGCTGCTTAACCCTTTACAGGTAACAGGAAGTTGCCTCTGGCCAGGAGGGATTTTATAGCACTGTATACAGAAAGGTGGTTACCCTTCCCTTTATATTTATGACAATGGTACCTGATGATAATTAGTAGTTAGTGGATGAGTTTGACATCAGTAGTTTCAGAGGAAATATTTTAATTGTATTATAGTCTGTCCAACATGCGTCTCATAAATTAGTGTGTCATAATGGAAAGCATCTGATCAATCACTAATTAGAAATTGCTTATCTCCGTGATTAGCTCACATTCAAACCTCTCTTGTTGCACTCTGACATTATTCAGGATTGCTGTGTTTAAATGCACATAACTTTTAAATCTATTCCTGATTTTATACAACGGAAGTAAAACAGATACGTCTTTCTATAGTGCTTTTTCATTCATATGTAAAAACACATAAATATGATTGTAATGAACATGTGAATAGCTGAACACCATCAAATGTTTGTAGGTAACATTCATTACTTTCTTTTAAACTAAGTCAATATAATTGTGATCTCTTTGAGAACGATCGCCCTGCACTGAAAGCAGGGGGGCCGTTGTCCAGGCTTGCTGGAGGAAGACAGTAGTGCTTTATGGAGTGGGGGAGAACAAGATCAGAAACTGCTGCAGAAAGGTGGTGTTGGTCAGCTTTGCAGCACTGACTCACCCCCTTGGAAGGCTTTAAAGGTGCAAGCTGTAGCATTGGAAACCGCTTTCTCCACACAGCAAGCAAGGCAGCAGCAGGCAGCAGAGGATCCAGGCACGCTGGGCAGCATGGCTCCCAGGAGGAGGAGGTGAGAGATGAGAGCACGGAGAAGGTTGGGAAGCTCACCGCTTCCCGGAGAGGGACAGGCTCATTCTGGATAAGGGGTGCTTGCAGGGAGGCACAGCGGGACTTCCAAAGTGTACTGGGCTGCCCAGAACCACAATGTTCTTCTACACTGAACCCAGGAGACAGGGTTGAGGCTGATTTCAGTGGTGAGTGTGCTTTGCAACAGACAGAAGGTGGGAGGACAGGTGGCACAGGTGATATCCTGCCTTGCAATGTGACAATGTGTGGTGGTTGCATGGGCCTGAGGGAGGTGCAGGATCTGGGCTCAAATTGTCCATCTCAGAGGGTACTTGAGGGGAACAGGAGTGAGCCTTACAGAGTAACAAATAGTCCAGGACCAGGAATGGGAGTACCGGAATCCATATCAAATCCACCTTGAAGGTGCACCCCTGCTGGGGACACTAATGGGGTTGCACAGCTGCTGCAAGCTAATCTGCAGTTGTTGCAACAACTTCAGGCCTCTGTGGGTAATAGGTCTGGCCTGGGTTCCAGGGGAGGCCCAGCATGGGCACGAGTTCAGGAGTTGGGAGACAGGCAGGTGGGGCAGACCCCTGCACAGGTGGGGGGCAGCAGTGTGGTTGAAACCTCTGGGCACATGTCAACTCATCAGTTGTTAAGATGTATAACCTCCTGGGATAGAGTTGAGCTTCCTGGGAGGGCGGTTGTGGGGGAACAGGGCACCGAGGATGCTCCATCAGTCAGTCCTGAGTATGGTTGTGCCGTGGTGGCTGACCTGTTGGGAGTTCACCTACTAAGTACAATTAAGGATAAAATCCTGAGGGGAATACATGAATATTATCACTCAGGGAGGTGTTGACAGAGAGTAAGCTGGGACAGAGCAAACAGAATGAGTTGCCCAAGCGGCGATGGGTGCCTAGAACATGGGAGAATTGGGAGGCGGCCTTCCTCATCTATGCAGGTATGATAGTGCAGGCTTACCCAGAGAGACGCTCAGCCTTGTTTAAGTATATGGATGTAACCAGGCAGGCACATACTACATTTGGGGGCATGTCTTGGTTTCATTATGACGAGCAGTTTTGCTTAAGGGCAGCAACACAAACTGGGATCCGGTGGGACATACCACATCACACGTTGTGGCTAGAGTGGATGACTCTGCGGGGACCAGGAGTTCACACAGACAGTGGCCTGTTCCTTCCACTGCAAGTTCAGGAGGGGCAAGAGTCACATAATATTTGCTGGGCATTTAATAACAATGGTTGTTTTCGCAGCCACTGTAGATTCAAGTATGTGTGTGAGATATGTTTTGGGACCCATTCGGCCCATTCTTGCCAGAGCGGTAGGGGATGATTGCAAGGGGAAAACAGGATTGGGGGTGGGTGGAGTGCCAACTGCAGGTTTGGCTCGGCTGAAGCAGCTCATGAGGTGCAGATCACAGGCAGGGTAAGGGGGCAAACTGGGCGGTGGTCCAATGGGCATAGGCACGATTGCCAGTGAGGCTTAAGGTGTTCAGGGTTTCCTATGATATTACCCTAATAAAGCACATATGGCATATGTGGGGCGGCGGGGTTAACTTTGGGATTTTGGATCCCCTTTCTGGGGAGTAAAAAGAAAAGGAGTACTTGTGGCACCTTAGAGACTAACCAATTTTATTTGAGCATGAGCTTTCGTGAGCTACAGCTCACTTCATTGGATGCATACAGCACCCATGTAAGGTTAAAAAAAAAATTAATTGCCAATAGGGAACCTAAGGGTTGCCCCCCCCCCCCCGCGGTTCAGTCCCCAACAGCACTGCAAGGAAATATCGAGTAATTCATCACCTTTCATACCCACTAGGTGGCTCCATTCACACTACAATGAACCAGGTGGCCTGGCAAAACATTTGGGGGCACCCCATGCAGAAGACGAGATAGAGGGCCCCTTCCATTACATTAGCATACCTGGGTATCAAGTGGAACACAAGGGCGGACATATTACAGCTCCCTCCCTATAAAAGTATATGTTTCTGGTATGACAGCATGGCAGGCCAAACTTCCACCTCACATAGGGTTATGAAGTTACTGAGGGAATTTGTGTCACAGTGTTTGAGCCTTAACATCTCTTTTCCTTCCAAGCACATGCCCGCGGTTGGATGATGGCATAGCGGATGCCCTGTCTCATTTGCAGTTCAGCAGTGTGCAGGGGCCTGCACCAGGAGCTAGCGACTAACTCAAGTAGATGATGCTGGTGCTATGGAACTGTGGCACATGAGGATCTAGGAGGCTAGTCACCTATATGGCCCATCAGGAAGGGAGGGGTGTTATAGTACATGGCATTGGCAATCCAGCTGCGGGAGTCTTGACGATCCTTGTGTAGTGCAAAGGGCAACTGAGTTCATTGGGGGGGAAGGGGAGTTCACCTATCAAACTTGGGGGGTAATATGTTTTTGGGCTGCTATACAAAGGCCATTGGAAGATGTCTGGGACCCCGACTAGATGTGGCGGGGAAGGCAGCCAAGCTAATTGCTGGCACCTCCTTGTGGCAGATGTCCAGTGTAGGTACTCCATAGGGAAGGCATCCAGTGACCAGATCAATGGCCTGGTAAAGAACTTAAAAATGGGGTGCTGGTTAAAGGAATGGAACGGTGTGGGGTTTGGGGCTCCTATGGTTGGAATAGTAGGGAGCCAATCCGCCTTTCTTATAACTCACCTTACCCCTCCTACAAGGGGGGGTAATGGTAAGGTCCCGGCGATGGATTTGCTGGAGGGACCTGGATGGAAAAAGATGGGGAGCTGGTGGAAGCCCCCCACCCAGGTAATTAAAAAACAAACCGGGTTTACCTGCACTGTACACTTTTATCTGCTGGGTAGTCCAAGACATCTAATAATGAAGTTGCGGCCTGATTAAATCCATATCAGGTGTCTCCTGTCCTTCCTTTGGTATAGCTGAACAAACAGCAACTAGCTTACAATTTAGACTGAGTACAATTAAGTTCTGAAATCAAACACCATATATTACTATGAAGTTTATTGCAACATCAAGATTTCTCTGACAATACAGCCTTAGATTTTCTATTCCATAGCACAGTTTAAGAAGCAACGTAAATTCTATTGGAGACGGAAAGCTATATCAATAAAGACTTGAAAATATGTAACTATAATATAGCAATCGGTGAGTCTCACTGGCGAGAAAGTATCTTACATTACAAGATTCAGTATAATACTGCTGCTGAATGATGTAGCCTATGGCTACTTTTTGGGCCTGTTGAGATGTCAGTTTGTATTAGTAGGAATAGCTAAAAGTCCTATATGGATAAGGATTAAGGATAGTCATGGTCTAGAGATATATACACTAACATTTCACTAGTGTAGGTGTAGATTTTTTTTTCTGTAATTAGTTTCTATGAATAGTATATCCCAATATTGGAAGTTGGTATGATCTACAGTGTAAACTAAGTATCTACCATCCATGCAAGTTTCCAACCCTATACTGCTACCATCTAACAGTGCAATCTTTGAGAAAGTTGTTGCATTTCAGAGATATGTGAAAGGGCAAAGATACAGGAAAAAGATTTATATGTAAAGGAAGCACACAGCTTCAATTATTACCCCAGTACAGAATATTTCATTTAAATGTATGATATGACTTGTAAATAGAACGTATATGAAAAGAGGACACTATTTTTAAGCACAAGTATTTCAGAAATCTTATGATTTTGCTGACTCTGCAGATCTTTAATATTTGTAAGTAAAGGAAATTGACATTAACAATGATTTCTTTTAACAAGTTGATTTTAGCTTGATTTGTATACCATCTAGAGCAGAGTCAAAGTAAGAAACGCAGATGGATTATGTCAGTAAAGTGCCCAGTTCATGATGATTAAACCTTCTGTATAATGAAAAAAGGAAGATAATCTGCCTCTACAATGTGTAAGTAAGGGTTGTGAACAAAAAATTACTGTCAGCAAAATGATGTTTGTTCTAATCAACAAAAACTGCATAATTTTCATGATTTATAGAAAGCTGAAAAACAAAGAAATAGGTGGTTATCTACCTAGCTGCTAAGGATAAACATGGCCTACTACGTGAAACATATTATACAGCATTGGAAGTGGCTGGGATTTGCCTAAATGTGAAATGTTCTAAATTCTCCCATGATTAGCTGCCAATTCAAGGTCAGAAGCTACATCAGGATCCAGGAGGCATGCCTTTGAAAACAAACAGAACAGTGAGTTATATTTTACAGCCAAAACTGGAAATCTAACTTCGTTTGTACAGTCCATTGAAAATGTAACAGACTATATAAATTCTAAGTATTATCAAAATTGTTTGAGAATCAGTTTACTAAATACACTAAAGCAAACTTTAACCTTTACATCCCTTTTTCTAACTCTACTTAAGAGAACAAAACTGGTATGCTATATGTAACCAGTGCACTCAAGTTGAGGATTGTTTCAAGAACTTGGGCAAAAGCTACTTCCCAAACAACTTTTGGTATGGCTTCTGCTGACACCTAAGCCATAGAAGTCAATCGGCTTGCCAGGTGGAGGTTTCCTGAATCCAGTTAATTTTCCCCTCAGCACTATGATCTGTTCATATAACCTCTGTGGTACCTCTCTTCTCTCCTCTGCAAAATTTAGTGGGCCAAATGTGAACCTGGTTTATCTCTATGTTAAACACATATGGTAAAACAGGCAAATTGGGTTTTGATATGTTTCACTTTAAATGGGAGTAACTATACAATTAAATTACAAAATGGCTTCCAACCACAAAGCTAAAAGAAACAAATGATACTGATCACTGTCCCCAGGGGAATACATGCAGCAAAAAACTGCCATTAGGATACAGGGCCTTTCACTTCCAGGTTACTGACTCAAATCTGCTGTAGACCACTAATGACTGAAGTTGTTACTACCTGGTGGCTCTTTAATGTGAAATGAGGTGAGGGAATGGATGCCCACCTTTTCATTTGGCACCCTTGTTGGCAATCTGAACAGAGATGGAATGGACTGAGTATGCAAGGAGACTGAAATACTTTTTCCACTTAAAGTGGTCACTCTAGAACAGGTGTGAAACAATGAGGGTCAATGTGAGAAACCTTGCACTGATCCTGCCCTGATGTACCTATTCTACGGATAGTGACCACTATCTTTTAAAACTGTTTGTCCAGCATTTTTCACTACATTTTTTAAAAACTTCTGTTTTTTTTTTAAGTGTAGCTGCTTTTCACAGAAGAAAATAATTGAAAGAGTATTACTGTCTTTTCTGCAATCCCATTGAATTCAATGGGATCATCTGAGTAAGGAGCCACACTTGATGTTCATTTTGTTAGTAATTTAACTCCTGCATAGTTCCCACTTACATGGGTTTTACAAAACCGGACACTAGTCCTATTCTTGGCCTGAAATTTGATTTTGCTCTCTCATGCAATCAGATTGTAAACCAATGGATTGTGTGATGTTCTTCACACAATTTTTTTAAAAGGGACATTTGTTTTATTTGGGACCTATAATGTGCTCTCTGTGTAGCAACACTTGGCTAATCAACACTAGCCCCAGAACTGAGCTTATATCAGTGACCGCACAGATAAGTAAAGAAAAAATTCGTCGTGATCTTCTCAAGTATCAATAGAGAACACTGGGATTTAAACTAGGGCTGTCGATTAATTGCAGTTAACTCATGCAATTAACTCAAAAAAATTAATCGTGATTAATCGCTGTTTTAATTGCACTGTTAAACAATACTAACTGAAATTTATTAAATATTTTGGATGTTTTTCTACATTTTCTTATATATTGTATTCTGTGTTATAATTGAAATCAAAGTGTATGTTTTTTATTATAAATATCTGCACTGTAAAAATGATAAACAGAAGAAATAGTATTTTTCAGTTCACCTCATACAAGTACCATAGTGCAATCTCTTTGATGTGAAAGTGCAATTTACAAATGCAGATTTTTTTTGGTAATGTAACTGCACTCAAAAACAAAACAGTCTAAAACTTTAGCGCCTACAAGTCCACTCAGTCCTACTTCTTATTCTGCCTAATGTTAAGACAAACAAGTTTGTTTACATTGACAGGAGATACTGCTGCCTGCTTCTTATTTACAATATCACCTGAAAGTGAGAACAGGCATTCACATGGCACTTTTGTAGCTGGCGTTGCAAGGTATTTACATGCCAAATATGCTAAACATTTGTATGCCCCTTTATGCTTCAGCCACCATTCCAGAGGACATGCTTCCATGCTGATGATGCTCATTTAAAAAATAATGCGTCAATTAAATTTGTGACTGTACTCGCTGGGGGGAGAATTGTACGTCCCCTGCTCTGTTTTACCTGCATTCTGCATATATTTCACGTTATAGCAGAGTCGGATGATGACCCAGCACGTTAGTTTTAAGAACACTTTCACAGCAGATTTGACAAAACACAAAGAAGGTACCAATGTGAGATTTATAAAAATAGCTACAGCATTCGACCCAAGGTTTAAGAATCTGAAGTGCCTTCCAAAATCTGAGAGGGACGAGATAGGGAGCATGCTTTCAGAAGTCTTAAAAAGAGCAACACTCAGATTCGGAAAAGACAGAACCCAAACAACTGAAAATCAACCTTCTGCCGGTGGCATGACTCAGATAATGAAAATAAACATGCGTCGGGTCTGCACTGCTTTAGATTGCTATTGAGCAGAACCCATCATCAGCATGGACGCATGTCCCCTGGAATGATGACTGAAGCATGAAGGAACATATGAATGTTTAGTGCATCTGGCATGTAAATATCTTGTGACACTGGCTACCACAGTGCCACACCTGTTCTCAATTTCATATAACATTGTAAACAAGAAGCGGGCAGTATTATCTCCTGCAAACGTAAACAAACTTATTTATCTGAGCGATTGGCAGAAGAAGTAGGACTGAGTGGACTTGCAGGCTCTAAAATTTTACTTCGTTTTATTTTTGAATGCAGTTTTTTTGGTACATAATTCTACATTTGTAAAGTATCAAAGAGGTAGCCGTGTTAGTCTGTATCCACAAAAACAATGTGGAGTCCGGTGGACTAACAGATTTATTTGGGCATAAGCTTTTGTGGGTAAAAAACCCACTTCTTCAGTTGCAAAGAAGTGGGTTTTTTACCCACGAAAGCTTATGCTCAAATAAATCTGTTAGTCTTTAAGGTGCCACCAGACTCCTCTACATTTGTAAGTTCAACTTTCATGATAGAGATTGCACAACAGTACTTGTATTAGGTGAACTGAAAAATACTATTTTGTTTTATTTACAGTGCAAATACTTGTAATAAAAAAAATAAAGTGAGCACTGTACACTTTATATTCTGTGTTGTAATTGAAATCAATATATTTGAAAATGTAGAAAACATCCAAAATATTTAAATAAATGGTATTCTATTATTGTTTAACAGTGCGATTAAGCACGATTAATTTTTTTAATTGGCATTTTTAAAGGCATCAAGGTTTGCAAATAAGCAAAGAAATAAGTTCTGCTTTTGAGTTTAAGAGGCAAGTATAAACAATGTAGTCACGAAATCAGTGTGCGATTTATCACTTTAACCACCTTGGGAAAATTGTCGTGAAAGATTACCAGCCCAGGCACAGGCCCTACTCACCTGCCTTTGTTGTGGTGATTAGAATATGAAATTTTACTTGCCTATCAAAATATGTCACTTGCCTTAGGGGAGTAGAACCTTGCGAGGCTGTTTTGAATAGTGTGAGAGGATTTACTTCAGTATTTTTTTTAAATAAGTGCAGATAGTAAATGTGGTTGGAGCCTTTAATGAAACCATACAGCAAGTTTAAGAACTTAAATTCAAAATATCACTGATCTTATACTACATAAGTTAATTTGTAGGGCCTCCCCACGCTTACCCTAGAATAATAATTATTAGCTGCAGCTTGATCTTGTTGTATGCCTAAGCCAAGCTGGAGACATCTAGCAAAGTAGAAAGTAGCCATAGCAACCCCTTTGGCTATGTATACAGGAAGGCAATCGGTTATCTTTGCTAACATATCAATGTTATCGTTTTCTGCAATCCTGTTGTAAAATTTACAATATAAGGTTAGAGGTGAGCATTTCAAGCTTTGATAGAAATCAGCTATATGAACCATAAAGAGATAGCGTCAAAGCGATAGCGTCAAAGCATGCGCTTTGTGCCCAACTTCAGTTAAGTTGGGAATTCTGTTGATAATGGTGTGAACTTACAGCCTCTCTAGCAAAACAGGTTTTAAATGTACATACAGACTTTGAGCAGTGAACATGATTCTCCTATTTTGAGTAACTTGATTCATGTAAGAATTAGTGAGCAAATACACGATCACTTTGGTCATTTTCACTACAACTGCACTAATTATAACAAAAGTGTTTCACACAAATTATTTGTTTCTACCAGACTGTTACCAGTTTAGTGGAAATTAAAGTAAAACTTGAGTGGATGGCTAAGCTTTACAGTTTTAAAAAAAAGTATCATTCCAAATCATTAATGTTGATTTACCAATACCCTGTTATCTAAAGATCATGGGGAACCTCTAAAAGCTTCAGGTAAAGAGGACTTTGGATACTTAAGACCACCACCTTCTGGAGTTCCCCAACAGACATTACTAACCTTTAACAAACTGGAGTTCAGTTAGTCATGGTTTGCTAGTACACTCAAAGGGATTTTGAGTTTTCTTTAAATTGACTTTTTTAAAGCCTCAAATTTGATACAGCACTTCTTAAATTGTAGTGCCTGAAATATATATATTTAAATCCTGTCAGTGCATATATCTGCCTGCTGCCTTCTCGATATCAGCTTTGCTGTTACTGGTAAACACCGTCTTGAAGGGTCTGGGGAAGAGCCTGCATATAAGGTCCCCAAACAATGTATGAGAGTGATGTCATGCTAATACATATGTCAGGAAGTGCAAGTGACCACTTGCAAAGAGCTGTTAAATACATAAAGTAAAATCAACTAAAATGAAGAAAGCATTATAGTAAACTAGGGGTTACATGTAAAATATTAGGTCTAAAATTTTCAGATGGAGATGTGATTTTTTTTCATTTGTGTCTTTTTAAATACATTTACCACTTAAAATATATAAAAAAAAGAGCACTACTTCCATCTACCTAGCAAGGATTCTGCTTTTTCCTACACTGTGAGATATTAGCAGTGTCGGACTGTTGCAGGGAAAATACAAAATCCTGAATTCCAGCCTTGGTAGAAAATGGAGAAGCTTATTCAGTTTTATTTTAAACTATAAAAATGCACTTAAATTAAGCCTATAGACATACCATATGAATCATTATCAGTGAATCTGATTCTGTTTAAGCCTCAACAAATCATTGCTTGCTAAATCGCAGTAATTTTCTTCCACCTAATGTGATCACCTTTACCAAATGTCAGCTAAAACAAGGAGATATGGCAACTCATTAAAAATTAAACTTGTATCAAGCAATGATCTGACTCTTGCGGCTTATATTTAATGTCCTCTGATAAGCAAAACAAAGGAATGTATCTTTTGCCCTCCCTTTCAAAATATAATAGAATACCAATGCAAATAATACCCAGTGAAGAAATGTTAATCAGCATGCATAGACAAAGGACTTAGTGATTGGTGCAGTTTACTGAGTGTTTTGTTAAAGGAGATACCATGGTGATGAGCACAGCTTAAAGAAAGCTATACAGAATAGGAAAGCAATTCTTCAAGGCTACAGTATCCACGTGGCCAACCCCAACTCCAAACATAAGGCATGAGCCTGACGGCAGGTCTATGCTACAGCCCAAGTCAATATAACTTACGTCGCTCCGGGGTCCTAAAAAGTCCCCCCTCTACCCCACAAGTGCTTCAAGTTTTGCACTGTCCACACCAGAGCTATGTTGGCAGGAGATGCTCTCACGGAGGTGGAGTAATTATGCCAATGGGAGAGCGCTCTCCTGTTGGCATAGCATGTCTTCACCAGACGTGCTACAGTAACGCAGCTGTGTCAGTGCAGCTGTGCCAAAGTAGCAGTGGTAGTGTAGACTTACCCTGAGATGTGACTACAAATAAGTGGATAACACAGAGCTCTCTTTTATATTGATGGGAGTGATGTAAGACTGTAAAGGGGAAATTTGTCATGATCTTATTAAATAAATGTCCAAGATTTGCATGGCAATTGGGGCATACTGACTTGGAGGTTACAAAAGTAGTGTATCTGTTTTATATAGTGCAGCAAATTGGTGTACAGAAGGTACATGGGAAGGGACAGGGACAGGAGCAAAGAAGATACTGATGCCTGACGTGACAGCCACTTGCACTGCTGGCAGACTTCTGGCCCAAGAACATCTACAGTGCCAATGAGATGGGATTGCTTTGAGCATAATGACAGTACATTTTCCTTCAGAACTTATTTATGGCTATAACCTATTAGGGCTTCTTTGTGGAAAGATGACTACAGCTAACAAGGTGCACCCTTTCGTTGTCAGAATAGCCTGCTGGACCACAGTGGTTAAAGGACAAACTCCACCTGATTGGTATGGCCATAGATGGCTACCGTTCTATCTACACTGCATGTGAAAGAATGGGAACCTAGGCAGAGGACCAGCATGATTTTTGTGGGTTCAGTGGTGAATAAAAATAGAACGTTGTTTGGATAAACAGCTCAATTTCTGGACTGTCAGAACTCTGAACCTGAAATCCAAATCCTGCCACTCCTAGTTCTATGTAATTTTCCTTGGCAGCATCCCTTTGTTCTTCGTTCCTTAGATACTTTACAGCAGAAGGATGAGTTTTGCATATAGCTTGTAGAGTCACTTTGCCTGTCTCTTTTTTCTTTAGAAACTTAATGGTCTGAGGTTAAATCTGTAATGTAAGGCTTTGCTAGCAAACGTTCTATTTGGGGGGTTTATAATGGGACATTTGATTATGGAGAAATTGTAAAACTGAGGCCAACAATTTATTCTCTTCTCATAGTGTGAGAATTCTCCTCTCCAGTGTGTTCTGGATTTTACCCACTGTGTAAACAGAACAGAAATCAGTCAACTTGGCCTTCAGCTCAACCATAAAAAGATCAGAATGTATTATTGAACCTAAACCATCATGGCAGGGCAAATTATTTGATTGCACCTTATCCTGTTTACATAGAGAAGCAAGCAATATTTCTGAATTGAGAACACATTATAATAGTGTACTGTAAAGTACTACCACTTGAAACCTTAGAAATGCCAGATGGATCAGCAGTGGGATCCACAGTAACTCTAGATGACCTACTCCTGGGGAAAAGGAGACAGTAAAATGCTGCCTGCAAAAAAAAATTTGAGTGAAGAGATTGAAGGGAAGTGGAATACATCGACTGGCCAGTAAAATAGCAGAATGGTGGCTATGGATAACCTAGCCACCCCTAAAGAAACCTGACTGAGGAAGACCAGAAGGCCATGGGGGGGGGTCATCTTTCCCTGTTCCCAGAAGAAATCTCTGAAATGTTGGGATCCACACGCTGTTGACAAGTACATGGACAGCTACCTGGGCAGTGGTTGGAACTCTGTTAGGGAGAGGAGGGCCATTTTAATATTCTGACAGTTTTTTGGCCAGTTGGAAACTTGAAGTCGAGAGCAGCACTTCTCTTTTTCTGGATGGAAACTAGAGTCAAACCCTTATCCAAACACTTCAGAAACTCAAAAGAAAGTTCACTTTGAATTTTGCGGGGGTAGCAGGGGTTGTTTCATTCAAGTCATTTATTTGTCTGTCTCTATATATGAAGCCACTTCCAGGCATGTCATGTGTATTTTGGTAAACATGGAGGATGGCTGCAGCCTACGAGAAATGACCGATCAAATCACAGAGACAGGCCTCTCTTCTTTGTTGTTCTGCTCATCCACTGGATGAAGCTTTGGCAGCACTGAGACAAGATACAGAGTTGATAGAGACTGGATGTTTTTTACATTACATCCTATATCCTTTACATTATTTTCTAGGGGGTCAGACACAGGGTATAGGCTCCTGTCCCATCCTTTATGTACCTGAGTTAAAATGTATGCAAATGAACTTGGAGAAATGGTAATACTTTTCAATGTATGCTTCTTTTAATATTTCAATCTCTATTTCTTCTCCAGTGATTATTTCTGCTTCCCTCTGATCAAGGATCACAGAGTTGAACTGAATAATGGAAGGCTTCGTAATGATTAGAGTCTTAATGTTGTTTAAGTTCTGTCATTCACTTTTTAAAGATTAAGTATGGTAGTTAAATCTGATACATCTCTGGTAGGGGAATACATGCTTGATTGACATGAATTTGAACTTGATCTAAAAATTATTTTTATCTTTAACTTCTATGATCTTATGTCAAGAATTCTAATAAAGTTAACTAAAATTAATTCACCTTCTGGCAAATGCAGCAGCTTTTGTGTAAAATTTTCTTTTGTAGTAATATTCAACAAGATGGCCTTGAGCATAGACATTTCCACGTTCTGCTGCTTCCTTCAGGCACTCCAAAGCAGCCATTGTATTTTGATGTATGCCTTGTCCATAGAGATACATAACACCAACTACACCCTGTGACTCCAGACTTCCATTGCCACAAGCTTCAGAATGCCAGAAAAATGCCTACAGAACAGGCACAATAAGAACATAAGAATGGCCATACTTGGTCAGACCAAAGGTCCATCCAGCCCAGTATCCTGTCTACTGACAGTGGCCAATACCAGGTGCCCCAGAGGGAATGAACCTAACAGGTAATGATCTAGTGATCTCTCTCCTGCCATCCATCTCCACCCTCTGACAAACAGAGGCTAGGAACACCATTCCTTACCCATCCCGGCTAATAGCCATTAATGGACTTAACCTCCATGAATTTATCCAGTTCTCTTTTAAACCCTATTATAGTCCTAGCCTTCACAACCTCCTCAGGCAAGGAGTTCCATAGGTTGACTTGAGTGCTGAGTGAAGAACTTCCTTTTATTTGTTTTAAACCTGCTACCCATTAATTTTATTTGGTGGCCCCTAGTTCTTATATTATGGGAACAAGTAAATAACTTTTCCTTATTCACTTTCTCCACACCACTCATGATTTTATATACCTCTATCATATCTCCCCCCTTAGTCTCCTCTTTTCCAAGCTGAAAAGTCCTAGCCTCTTTAATCTCTCCTCATATGGGACCCATTCCAAACCCCTAATCATTTTAGTTGCCCTTTTCTGAACCTTTTCTAATGCCAGTATATCTTTTTTTGAGATGAGGGGACCACATCTGTACGCAGTATTCAAGATGTGGGTGTACCATGGATTTATATAAGGGCAATAAGACAGTCTCCATCTTATTTGCTATCCCTTTTTTAATGATTCCTAACATCCCGTTTGCTTTTTTGATTGCCGCTGCACACTGCATGGACGTCTTCAGAGAACTATACACGATGACTCCAAGATCTTTCTCCTGATTAGTTGTAGCTAAATTAGCCCCATCATATTGTATGTATAGTTAGGGTTATTTTTTCCAATGTGCATTATTTTACATTTATCCACATTAAATTTCATTTGCCATTTTGTTGCGCAATCACTTAGTTTTGTGAGATCTTTTTGAAGTTCTTCACAGTCTGCTTTTGTCTTAACTATCTTAAGCAGTTTAGTATCATCTACAAACTTTGCCGCCTCACTGTTTACCCCTTTCTCCAGATCATTTATGAATAAGTTGAATGGGATTGGTCCTAAGACTGACCCTTGGGGAACACCACTAGGTACCTCTCTCCATTCTGAAAATTTACCATTTATTCCTACCCTTTGTTCCCTGTCTTTTAACCGGTTCTCAATCCATGAAAGGATCTTCCCTCTTATCCCATGACAACTTAATTTATATAAGAGCCTTTGGTGAGGGACCTTGTCAAAGGCGTTCTGGAAATCTAAGTACACTATGTCCACTGGATCCCCTTGTCCACATGTTTGTTGACCCCCTCAAAGAACTCTAATAGTTTAGTAAGACATGATCTCCCTTTACAGAAACCATGTTGACTTTTGCGCAACAATTTATGTTCTTCTATGTGTCTGACAATTTTATTCTTTACTATTGTTTCAACTAATTTGCCTGGTACTGACATTAGACTTACCGGTCTGTAATTGCCAGGATCACCTCCAGAGCCCTTCTTAAATATTGGCGTTACATTAGCTATCTTCCAGTCATTGGGTACAGCAGCTGATTTAAAGGACAGGTTCCAAACCATAGTTAATAGTTCCACAATTTCACATTAGAGTTCTTTCAGAACTCTTAGGTGAATGCCATCTGGTCCCGGTGACTTGTTACTGTTAAGTTTCTCAATTAATTCCAAAACCTCCTCTAGTGACACTTCAATCTGAGACAATTCCTCAGATTTGTCACCTACAAAAGATGGCTCAGGTTTGGGAATCTCCCTAACATCCTCAGACGTGAAGACTGAAGCAAAGAATTAATTTAGTTTCTCTGTGATGACTTTATCATCTTTAAGTGCTCCTTTTGTACCTCGATCGTCCAGGGGCCCCACTGGTTGTTTAGCAGGCTTCCTGCTTCTGATGTACTTAAAACATATTTTTTTATTACCTTTTGAATTTTTGGCTAGCTGTTCTTCAAACTCTTTTTTGGCTTTTTTAAATTACATTTCTACATTTAATTTGGCGGTGTTTATGCTCCTTTCTATTTACCTCACTAGGATTTGAATTCCACTTTTTAAAAGATGCCTTTTTATCTCTCACTGCTTTTTTTACATGGTTGTTAAGCTACAGTGGCTCTTTTTTAGTTCTTTGACGGTGTTTTTTAATTCGGGGTATACATTTAAGTTGAGCCTCTATTATGGTGTCTTTGAAAAGTGTCCATGCAGCTTGCAGGGATTTCACTCTAGTCAGTGTACCTTTTAAGTTCTGTTTAACTAACCTCCTCATTTTGCATAGTTCCCCTTTCTGAACGTAAATGCCACAGTTGAGATGTTCTTCCCACCACAGGAATGTTAAATGTTGTTATATTATGGTCACTATTTCCAAGCAGTCCTGTTATAGTTACCTCTTGGACCAGATCCTGCACTCCACTCAGGACTAGATCGAGAGTTGCCTCTCCCCTTGTGGATTCCTGTACCAGCTGCTCCAAGAAGCAGTCATTTAAAGTATCGAGAAATTTTGTCTCTGCATTTTGTCCTGAGGTGACATGTACCCAGTCAATATGGGGATAATTGAAATCCCCTACTATTATTGAGTTTTTTATTTTGATAGCCTCTCTAATCTCTGAGCATTTCATCGTCACTATCACTGTCCTGGTCAGGTTGATAATAGATCCCTACTGTTATATTCTTATCAGAGCATGGAATTACTATCCACAGAGATTCTATGGAACATGTGGATTCATTTAAGATTTTTATTTCATCTGATTCTATATTTTCTTTCACATATAGTGCCACTCCCCCCCTCCATGACCTGTTCTGTCCTTCCAATATATTTTGTTATTTTGATATTACAATGTTCTTGTCATTTTTGAAATACTTACATAACCCTTTGCTTCTGGTAAAAATAGACATTCCCTAATCTAGACTATAACCTAAGTGTCTTGCATACTGTCTGTTTTCTTTAAAGCTCTTTTATCTAGCAGCCGGAGAGAAGTGTCTGCACAGTAAATAATGCAGAGCCACTCCAATACTTACATTTATTTCCTTTACTCATGCAGTCCTGTGCCCCGCCACTCCTGCTGGTTATTTCTTAAACATACCGAGAACTATAAATCTTAATCCCAAATCATAATGCTGATTCTTGAGTTTCAGATTTGATGCTCCCACCTCCTGCTAATTGTTTCATTACAAAAGCCTGACTACCAATGTCAAAGGATTAAAATAAGAAATTTTCTTTCTGTATATATGCCAGTTTGGGTCTAAATGGATGAAAAAGTCTAGAAGTAATAGGGCATATGTTGTTATAAATAAGCTACAAAAGTCTCTTTCTGGAACGCTTCACAGATCCAAAATGAATCTGGGCATTGCATCATGATATGGAAAAGGCAGAAATCGGCATTACCTTTTTCAGATCTTTTGAATTTGATGTAGAATAAAACATTCCCAGGGTACTTTGAGCCTTTACACTTGCCTTTGGATTCCCATGGTCTGCAGCAATAAGCCACAGCCTAAAGAATAGGGAGGAAATATAAGTAACATTACAACAGGGTATTTTATAAATAATGTATAAATTATTAGATTAAATTACCTTTCAGCCTCTTTATCTGAATGCTTAACACCACATCCTTCAAAATAAGATCTGCCAAGATTGTATGCAGCAGCATATTTTAAATGTCTTGCTTTAGGGGAGTTAGAGTTGATAATTATTTGCATGTACTCCACTCCTTTTTCCTTTGAGAGAAACAGATTTTAATCATAATTGCAGAAGGTAAAAAGGACAAAAATTAAAATTCCAGGTAAAGTAGGTTACATATTACACACAAAACTTTTCAGTTCTAAAACTCTCTCAGTGTTAAAAAGTTTGGATGTGCTCAGGTAAGGTAGTGTTCTTATATTTTAAAATTCTTACATTTTAAATATTTTCATTTCTAAAAAAAAGCAAAAACTAGTTTTCATTATGCTCTATTTTTGTGAAAAAGTGGAACTACTTGTCTAAAAACTGATATTGTGTAGGATGTCAGTTTGATAAGGATGACATCCAGTTTTGGGCCCCACACTTCAAGAAGGATGTGGATAAATTGGAGAGAGTCCAGCGAAGGGCAACAAAAATGATTAGGGGACTGGAACACATGAGTTATGAGGAGAGGCTGAGGGAGCTGGGATTGTTTAGCCTGCAGAAGAGAAGAATGAGGGGGGATTTGATAGCTGCTTTCAACTACCTGAAAGGGGGTTCCAAAGAGGATGGCTCTAGACTGTTCTCAATGGTAGCAGATGACAGAACGAGGAGTAATGGTCTCAAGTTGCAGTGGGGGAGGTTTAGATTGGATATTAGGAAAAACTTTTTCACTAAGAGGGTGGTGAAACACTGGAATGCGTTACCTAGGGAGGTGGTAGAATCTCCTTCCTTAGAGGTTTTTAAGGTCAGGCTTGACAAAGCCCTGGCTGGGATGATTTAACTGGGAATTGGTCCTGCTTTGAGCAGGGGGTTGGACTAGATGACCTTCTGGGGTCCCTTCCAACCCTGATATTCTATGATTCTGTGATTCTATGACATCATAATTTCTTGCTCTGGCTTTCATTGTACCAACTGCGGACCATCATTCAAAATCAGTTTGCTACCTACAACAGGTAGCTCAAAAAGTTTAACAATACTACAATTATTTTATTAAATTAAAGCCATTCCTTATAAAATGGGAGTACTGAACAAAACTGGATTTACTCTGTTGTGCCAAGTTTTGTAGCAAACAACACTACACTCTCCTGGGATAAGAGGGAAGGTGCTCTCGTGCATCGGTAACTGGTTAAAAGATAGAAAACAAAGGGTAGGAATAAATAGTCAGTTTTCAGAATGGAGAGAGGTAAATAGTGGTGTCCCCCAGGGGTCTGTACTGACTCATAAGCTTGAAAAAGGGGTAAAGAGTGAAGTGGCAACATTTGCAGATGATACAAAACTACTCAAGTTAGTTAAGTCCAAAGCAGACTCCAAAGAGAAGGGATCTCACAAAACTGGGTGACTGGGCAATAAAATGGCAGATGAAATTCAGTGTTGATAAATACTAAGTAATGCACATTGGAAAACATAATCCCAACTATACATATAAAATGCTGGGGTCTAAATTAGCTGTTACCTCTCAAGAAAGAGATCTTGGAGTCATTGTGGATAGTTCTCTGCAAACATCCACTCAATGTGCAGTGACAGTCAAAAAAGCTAACAGAATGTTGGGAATCATTAAGGAAGGGATAGATAAGAAGACATGGTATGCCTACATCTTGAATGCTGCGTGCAGATGTGGTCACTGCATCTCAAAAAAGATATATTGGAATTGGAAAAGGTTCTGAAAAGGGCAACAAAAATGATTGGGGTATGGAACGGTTTCCATATGAGGAGAGATTAATAAGATGGGACTTTTCAGCTTGGAAAAGAAATGACAAAGGGAGGATATGATAGAAGTCTATAAAATCATGACTGGTGTGGAGAAAGTAAATAAAGTGTTATTTACTCCCTCTAATAACACAAGAGCTAGGGCTCACCAAATGAAATTAATAGGCAGCAGGTTTAAAACAAACAAAAGGAAGTATTTCTTCACACAACGCACAGTCAACCTGTAGAACTCTTTGCCAGAGGATGTTGTGAAGGCCAAGACTATAACAGGGTTCAAAAAAGAACTAGATAAATTCATGGAGGATAGGTCCATCAATGGCTATAAGCCACGATGGGCAGGGATGGTGTCCCTGGCCTCTGTTTGCCAGAAGCTAGGAATGGGTGACAGGGGATGGATCACTTGACGATTACCTGTTCTGTTCATTCCCTCTGGGGCACCTGGTGTTCACCACTGTGGGAAGACAGGATACTGGGCTAGACAGACCTTTGGTCTGACCCAGTATGGCTGATTTTATGTTATTATGGTCACTGTCCTGAATTCCTTGGCTAGATGTGGTAGGCCCCACCTCTGTTGCACTTTCTAGGCATCAGAGGTTTTAGTCCATCTTTTGCCAGCCAAGAATGTTACACTCTTAAATAATCTGTAATGGCCGCTACATCTGTTTGCTGTAATATTAAACAATCAATTCTGTACCTATAGTATATCTAATCAAGCTAAGCATTTATATAAAGATCAGCACCCAGTATGGGAATCTGCATCAACAATGCCATTTTAATATAATTAAGAAGATACTTGTGGGGCTGGATGGCTTACGAGACTGGTAACAGGATAATGGAGCTTTTCATATCTAAGTTACCAATTCAAATGCAAAAGTTACTGCTCTCTTATGGTGTTTCATGCCTCTGAAATGAATTTGGTGGTCACAATCCATATTATAAAATTGTATCTCCACAACTGGCACACTTATTAGTTTCATAAAAGAAGCTATGCACTGACTAGAGAAGAAGACTGAGCTACTCTTTTACCCCAAAGTTGGTGCCTCCAGGAAATGGTTGAGGCATACTGGCAGGACAGTGTATGGGAATTTATGCATCACTGCCCCTCAACCTGAACCCGTGCTGTGGTTTAATGGAGGACTCCCAGAGTTCTCAAACTGGCACATTTCTCATGTGCTAAATTCTCTTACAAACACACTCCTGCATAAGAAAAACTTACTGGGTCTTCTTTGGTCCCCAATCCATCATAATACATTACACCCAGCTGATACAGAGCTTGAAAATCCATCTCCTTAATTTTTTCAAATTGTGTAAGTGCTTCTTCATACCATCCCTGAATAAGACAGTGAGCAATCAAGTAGTACATTATAGTGTATATAACAAATTAACTCTTCAGTATAATTTGTTTTTAAACTAGAGTATTTGCTCAGTGAACATGAGAAAAATCATAGAGCATTAGGAACGAAAATATTTTTATATGGTTAAAAAAAGTCACTCTGAATACAGTGGCACCTTAGAGACTAACAAATTTATTTGAGGATAAGCTTTCATGTAGCCCATGAAAGCTTATGCTCAAATAAATTTGTTAGTCTCTAAGGTGCCACAAGTCCTCCTCTTCTCTTTGCGGATACAGACTAACACGGCTGCTACTCTGAAATCTGAATACACTGTTATCAATTGGGACAGGTAAGGTCAACTTCAGAAAATACTGAATCAGATGGAAACACTTAGGACTTCCAACCAAGTGGTGGTGTTGTATGTGGGTGTGTATACACACAAAAATTAGCATAGGACATGTATCCATTTACCACACTGCATGTCACCCTCAAGATGCCACTATATGTAATCCAAGGAGCTAGCGCCACAGCAGAAACAGGAAAAATATGTAGATATTTTCTGATACCCTTATTTCTTCCTAATTAATCTCCCAATTTAACTGTCTATCCTTATTCCACAAAGCACATAAACATATACTTAATTGTAAGCATGTGCTTAAATCACATTAATTTTTAAATCATTGATTTCAGTGGGACCTAAGCACGTGTTCAAAGTTAAGCAGCTGTTTATGTGCTTTGCTGAACAGAGCTAAAAATGGTTAAATGCTTTGCTAAATTGGGACCCACAACACTGATTTCACACCAAGACTTCACTGCCACAAATGTGTGAGGGGTTTTTTTTTGTTTTTGTTTTTGTTTTACAGAAAGATGATAAATGAGTGGTAGGATTCTACAGTGAGATAACTAAGTGGAGAAAAGGTACTTGTAATGTTTACCATTTACTGAGAGGTAGCTAGGTGAGTTCCTCACCATACACACTTCTCATGCCTGTTGCTGACCTCCCCTATTTGCCACCAGTAAAACTAAAGTTCCAAAACTCCACTATATTTTCACAGCAGGATAGCTAATGTATGTTACTAATCCAACATTAAAAACACACCTTCGTCAGTAAAGAGACAGAAATCTGTTCGTGGCTTTCTTAAGAGTTCAAGAAGCAACCTTTACAATATTTGCTACTTCAGTAACTCAGGAAGAAAACTGTTTTTAAATACTTAGTAAAACAATGACAGTAGAATCCTGTTAATTGAGGACTCTGATATCCTGATTTAAAGGTGCCAATTTTTGTAATTTAAAAGAAAATGGAAAAGACAGTGAAATAAAATACTACACTGAATAAAAACGATAGTTACTGTTAGGTTTCAGAGTAACAGCCGTGTTAGTCTGTATTCGCAAAAAGAAAAGGAGTACTTGTGGCACCTTAGAGACTAACCAATTTATTTGAGCATGAGCTTTCGTGAGCTACAGCTCACTTCATCGGATGCATACCGTGGAAACTGCAGCAGACTTTATATACACACAGAGATCATGAAACAATAATACTTGTGGCACCTTAGAGACTAACCAATTTATTTGAGCATGAGCTTTCGTGAGCTACAAGTACCTTTTTATTTTTTTTTTTAATTTATTTGGCCACAAGCGTTTAGAATTTAACAGCTGTTTAACATGTGGTTTAACAACTACTTAACATGTGGTTAAAGAGCCTTCAGCTGGCTCAATGCCTTTGGCTAATTCCGTCCTAATTAACTATTAGTTATTATCATTAGCCTAAATAAGGTCCCTTGGGAGATGTCTCAAAGCAGCCATCCTAAGTGATAATACCCCTTTTAAAAATAAACAAAATCTAGCAGGAAATAGCAATAGCCTTTTACACCTACCATATGCATGGCATATGCATCAGAAAAACTAGGGCTGCAAGATGCAAGCCTCTTAAACCACACTTTTTTAGGTTCAATGAGCCGGATCAATGGCAAAACTGTGCAACAACAGACAAAACTGTATAAATTTAAAAAACTCTTTTTAAAACCTTTACTATATTAAACTACACTATAAACCCCAACAACCTACATGCAGATGGTGGGTATCAAAGGCAAGGGCAGGCTAAGCCTCCTCTGACCCAGGCGGTGGACCCACCCTCCGTCCCTCTTGACCCCGAAGCTGGCAGGGGCTCACGCAGCTCCAGTCGGCAGCCTGGAGCTCGGGCCCGCTGGTGGCCCACAGTGGCACTGGGGCCAGCCTGGCACTGGGGCTGGCGACTCGGCCTGGCGCCGGTGCCAGAGCAGTGCTGGCGGCTTGGCCTGGTGCTGGGGAGGCTGACAGCTCGGGCCAGCACTTTGGGGGCTGGCCGGTGCTGCTGGGGCAGGTGGTCTGGGGCTCCTCCAGCTACGTGGGGGGAGGGAGGCTTGGGGCTGTTCTAGCTGTGGGTAGGTGGGGTCTCGAGGCTCTGGTGTGTGGGAGAGCGGGGCCTCGGGCACAAGGGGTTGGGCCGGTGGGCTAGCCTCCCCAAAGGGGGGGGGGTTCACTTTCCACCCATGTACCTACAAGGGTTTAGGTAAAAGATCTAGGCCCAGGTTCACAAAGGTACTAAGGTGCCTAAACCCCAGACTTAGGTGCCTAGGTCCTAGTTTCAGCTTCACTATGATCCACAAAACTCCTGTTAAACCCTGTAGGTGCCTAACAGGGCTGGCTCTTGGTTTTTTTGCCGCCCCAAGCTCAGGTGGGGCTGGGGCTTGCAGGCAGCGCTGGAAGCAGAGGGAGTGATGGCACCTTCTCCCAGCGCCTGCAGGGGCTTTACCCCCTCCCCTGCCCGGCCGCGCAGAGAAGCCCCGATATAAGGGGTGGCACATGGCAGCGCAGCAGCCAGCGCACAGATGAGGCAGCGCAGCCCCGGCAGGACTCGCCCTCTCCTCCCCAGGTAACGGCTGGGCCCTGGCAGCTCAGCATCCCGGGGCTGGGGCTTCCCCTTCCCGCTGCGACCGGGGGCGCGGCGCCCTCACCCCGTCTAAGTGGCGCAGCTTCAAGAGCACAACTTCCCCGAAAAAAAGGATGGCTGGAATGCCGCCCCTAGAAAGGTGCCACCCCACCCATGTGCTTGCTTTGCTGGTGCCTAGAGCCGGTCCTGGTGCCTAAGCTCAATTGCTGCCTATGTTTTCAGGGCACAAGTTCCATAGGCACCTAAGTTTCTGCCTCTGTGGATGCATGCTACAGCCTCACTCCAGGCAGCTGGACACCTATCTGTCACCAAAGTCACAGAGCGATTCACAAATTGGGGGAAGAGAGGCATTTGGCCACTTAAGTTGCATGAGGGGTGCAATTCAGTAGGCATGCTGAGGTCACCTACCAGACCAGGTCCCGTTCAAAGCTGGCCAGAGGAGACGACGATAGCGGTGCCCACGTTATAACTTTTAGAGGAGTGGTTAGAGCAGTCACCTGGAATGTGGGAGACCCAGGTTCAATTTTCCCCCCTCTCTTCCAGAGGGGAAGAAAGAATTTGAACAGGGGTTTCCCACCTCTCAGGCAAGTGCTTTGACCGCTGAGATATGGGGCTTGCTCAGTCTCTCCTGTGGATGCGGCTGCACTGTGAATAATGAAAGTGTTATTGGAGCAGGGTCTCCCATCTCCCAGGTGTGTGCCCTACACCAGACTACAATCATGCTCTCTGTCTGGCCCAATGACTACTTAAGTATTTATCCATAGTAGAGCTGGGGGGTGGGGGGAAGGAGAGGAGAGGAGAGGAGAGGAGAGAGGGGGCCAGTGGTCAAGGCACCCACCTGGGAGACCCAGGGTCCAATCTCTGATTATTTATCCACAGTCTAACAATAGCAGTTGGGATGGAGAGAACTGACCCTCCCCCAATCAGAATATCCCACAGCTCAGTGGTTAAAACACTCTCTTGAGAAGTGGGAGACCCCTGATCAAATCCTCAAAAAAACCCTCTCCCCAGCAGAGGGGGGAATTGAACCTGAGCCTCCCACATCCCAGGTAGTGCCCTAAGCATTGGACTAAAAGTTATAAGGTGGAAACCAGCTCCTCTTCCTCCAACTATTTTGTGTGAAGTGAGGCAGGTGCCTAACTCATTCCCACAAGAAACACCTTAGGCGCCTAAGCTGCTTGACTCCAGGAGCTGGTTTCTATTCATGGACTGCTAAGCAGAGATAGGTGCTTCCTTATATCCTGGTCTTGGGTGCCTCTTTTCAAGAGGGGGACTAAGCACACACTCCTCTCATTGGCATCTCCCATTGCTTAGCTTAGGCGACTTCCCACCTAGCATGCTGTTTTTTGTGGATTGCATTCTAAGGTGATCATTTCTTCCCCCTTCATTGTATAGGGAGCTTAGGCACCTAACTTGGCTTTTTAAATCACAATGTTGCTCCTGTGATTTTTCTAGGTGCCAAGCTGCTCAACATTGCAACACCTAAGTCCCTTTATAATCCCACCCCTGGTTGGAAGCAGGCTGTAGGTACAGAGACAGAAACCATCCTCCGCTCTTCGATTGACCATAGAAAGAGAGGAACTGAGGCGAATGCAGAGCCATATCCCTTTATATAACCTTACACTGAACACTGAGTGTTACAAGGCAGCACTTGCATGGCTCTCAACAGGCATAGCTTTAAAAGAGATTTCTGAATTTTGCAGCGGCACGCGGTGCCGTAGCAGTCAATGACATTATGCAGAGACTACCTCAAAGATGTATTATGTGTCTAGATATGAAGTTCTGGTTAGGACTACACTTCAATACACAACATGGATATCTAAGTTCCAGTTAGCCAAGGAACAGTCTGATATTCCACTAGATGGTCCCAATCTTACTCCCACTGATGTCAATAAGTGTTTTGCCACTCACTTCAGTGAGAACAGGACTGGCCCCAATAATTTTGCTCTCTATGTAGTCAGCAGAACTTCTGGCAATGACTACAGTCAGAAAGCACTGAACCCAATTTCTCAAATTTGAGAATATCTGAAATAATACTGTATCTGTAACTTTATCCTTCTCCCTCCCCACCTCTGCGTCTCATTCTTTCTCAGGGAATCATGCTTCCCACAGTTGCTCCAGACTTCTTGTTTGATTCAGATGTTTTAGTTTTTACTTATTTCACTTTGTATGTATCTTCTTTTGTAACATTTTCTAGTGTTATCTCTTTTTCCATGTGGAAATTGTACTGAAAAGTGTCAGTTTTATAAAATGTTCTAAAAAGTAAATATTAAAGTACAACCTCTTCAAAGTACAGCTGCCCTTGTAGAAAATATGCCAGAGGATCTCCATCTATGATCCTCTTCGCCAACAGCTCCTCTGCCCTTGCAAACAAAGCGGTATGGCTATAGTTCCCTGCTAAAAACAGATATATATTTGTCTAATCACAACAAACAGAATAATATTGTAAGTACACTATCACACTAAAGTTGTAATTGTCTCTTTTTTTACCCTGACAGACATAATTAAGATGTTCCCTTTTTGTTGTATGCTCCATAGACTCAGCTAAAACAGATCAATGTTTTACACTGGAGGAAAAAATCTACAATAAAGATAATTAAACTTTTATGAAACAGTTTACCATACCATACAAATGCTATATGTATTTGTACGATGAAAATCTGATCTCAGTTGGTGGAAAAAACAGAATACAAATAACAAGTTCCCTTAAAGAAAGATTATCCACACTGGAAACATGAATTGCTAATGTTTAGAACAGCTTAAGATCTAAGCAAAACAACAGAAGATATCAATGGACTTAAAAATGACAAAAACTCCTTCAAAACTGGCAACCAAATCAGGGAATATCACTTTAAGCCCCGACCTTGCAATCTGGTGCTGGGGCTCCATACAGGCACAACAGTCCACCTACTTACAATGACTTGCAGGAGCAGGGCCTAACAGAGACTGAGAAAGAGAAGAGGAAGGAGAGACATTGTTTCATATGCTAGGGCATGGGCTACCTAAGTGGCTGACCTGATTTAGGCGCCTAACTCCAGGAGAAAGTCTGCAGCTGGGTAACCCAAACAGAGGGAAGTGCCTATCTCTGGCCCACCAGCCAGGTGCACCAGATCAGCTCCATACGTGCCTATGCCCCCTTCTCAGCATTTCTCTCCTGGCTAGCTTATGTGACTCCCTACTCAGCTGGCTGGCTTTTGAAAATCACTTCCTTAGGGGACTTACTCTCTCAATATATTTTATGGAGTGCCTAGCCCAAGGCTAAAAATTCCACTGGGACACAGGCTGCGTAGGGGGCTAAGTGTTGCAATGCCTAAATATCATTGAGGATCTGAGCCAAAGTCACTTTGAAAATGCGACTCAAGGGCCAGATTTTCAAAGGTATTTATGTGCTTAAACATACAGATATGAACCTAGTGGGCTTTTGAGGGTCTAGCAAGTTACGCACTTAAGTCCTATTTAAATCAACAGGAATTAGGTGTCCACCTGCTTGGGCACTTTTGAAAATCCTGCTAGGTGCCTATCTGTAGCTTCATGAGCCTAAATACCTTTGAAAATCTGATCCTTTGGCAATTAAGTTACTTAGCTGCTTTTAAAAATTTGACCCCAGGTCTCCCCAGGTTCACCACTGACTTGCTATATGCTTATTCTTTCTTTCTTCCACATTGCTTGCTGTTGCCTATATTTAGACTCCTGGAAAATCTTCTCTGCTTGTTTAGCAAAGCCAGGACTATCTTCTTCCAGTGCATTAATGGCTTGCAGGACACAAGGAGTCTTCTCCCTTGGAAGTGGATTATTCAGTGGCCTCAGTGGTATGACAGAGTTATATTTATGCTGTTTGTTAAGACCTTGGGTAAGTCACTTCATTTCTGTGAAGTCTATGTCTAATATGGGAGTGATGATAACACCAGAGTTATTCTGAGACTGTACTTAAAAAGCATTTTGAATTTGTCAGGTGAAAGGAGCTATATAAGTGCTAAAAATTATTTTTATTAATAAAATCTCTGTCACAATACTCTTATTAGTGGCTTTTAGGATTTTTTTTTCCAGCTGAGTAAGATATTTTTCTGGTGACAGTAACATTTTGTGAACAAGCTGAACTTTTAATCAATTACATTTCACTTTACTAATTATAATGGTGAAATCTCTTTCTGACTTAATAGAGAATGGAAGAATCACTTGAATCAGAGAACAGGAGGGGAACAAAGAATGAGAGGCAGCAAGAACAATCCAACTAGCAAAGGGAAAAAGAGGAGCTAAGTTAATGTGCTTAAAAATGGGAAGAAGAGGGACCACATCAAACTGAAGCAGGAAAAACGAGGGGGAAAAAAAGAAATAGGAAGATCAGACAATGAAAAAATGGCTCCATTCCCCTTGAATATTATGCCCCATTTGTCTACTTCCAGAACCCTCATATTTTCTGCAAGCATTTAAAGTAAAAAGGGGAACAAACTCACCCCAATATTGCCAAACTAAAAGTCTTAAAGAACTGTTGGGCCCGGTTAAATTTATGAGATTTGCTTAAAAATCATGAGACTTTAAAAAGCAATACTTTGTGTTCTTTTTATTTGATGTATTGGTTCTGATCCTTAAGGCAATACTCAGTTCAAGTGACCATGCTTTTCCCGGCAATCATGAGGTCTACACTTTTTTTTTTTTTTTTCGAACGAAGGCTGATCCTCTCCACTCCAGATTGAGGACTTGAGGTAAAAAAAACAGTAAATTTTGCAGATTTTTAAAAAGGAAAAAGATAAAAATTAACAAAAAACTAAGAAATTACATTAAAAAACTCTCTTTAAAAAGAACATTATTTATGTTGCCAAGTTAGGAAATAGTCGTCATGTAATTTTTCCCTTGAGTGTATGAATTAAGTGACAGTAGTTAATTACGTAATTGCACAATATTTTTTCCAGAGGACCCCACCTCATTGAGTGCATGGAATAGACCAATGGTGGGCAACCTGCAGCCTGCACACGGCCCGTCAGGGTAATCTGCTGGCAGGCCGCATATGGCCCGCGGGCTGCAGGTTGCCCACCACTGGAATAGACCCACAAGGAATACAAGAAAGGTTATGCAGGCAACCATAAACTGGCATTTCCTAACTTTTGAGTGTTTGACTTTGCAACCTACATAATGTTCCTTTAATGTCATGTATTTGTACGTACTATATCAGCTGTCACCAACCCGTCGATTGCAATCGACTGGCCGATCCTGGGGACTCTCCCAGTTGATCGCAATCTACGGCAGTGCAGCGGGGCTGCTGCTAAGGCAGGCTCCCTGCCTGTCGCAGCTCCATGCTGCTCCTGGAAGGGGTCAACACACCTCTGCGGCTCCTGGGAGGGAGGTCGGGGGGCACGTGGCTCTGCATGCTGCCCCTCTCTGCAAGCACTGCCCCTGCAGCTCCCATTGGCCACGAATGGGGAACTATGGCCAATGGGAGCTTTGGGGGCAGTGGCTGCAGAGAGGGGCAGCATGCAGAGTTACCTGCCCCCCAACCCCTTCCCAGGGACTGCAGAAGCATGTTGGCCCCTTCCGGGAGCGGCATGGGGCCAGGGTAGGCAGGAAGCCTGCCTTAGCCTCGCTGTGTCGCCCGCCTGGGAGCCACCCGCGGGAAGTGCCACCTGGCAGGAGGCCGCACCCCAAGCCCCAGCCCTGACCCCACTCCCAGAGCCAGAACCCCATACCCCCTCCTGCACCCCAACACTCTGCCTCAGCCCAGAAGCCCCTCCTGCTCCCAAACACCCTCCCAGAATTTGCACCCCTCAACTCCTCCTGCACCCAAACACCCTGCCCCAGGCTCAGCCTACACTGCAAACCCCTTGGCCCCAGCCCAGAGCCTGCACCCCCTCACAAATCCCTCCCCCAGCCTGGTGAAAGTGAGTGAGGATGGGGGAGAGCAAGCGATGGAGAGAAGGGGGGATGGAGTGAGTGGGGCGGAGCCTCGGGGAAGGGGCGGAGCCTCAGGGAAGGGGCAGATCCTGGGTTGCCCTTAAATTAAAAAAGTGATTGTGGGCGTAAAAAGGTTGGAGACCACTGTACTATATAGAGAGTGACTTTGTGCTTTCGTGAATATTACCTCTGATTTCTGTTTCACTTCAGTCAACATTAATCTCTGTGGACAATAAAGTATCATGTTCCTCAACACTGTAGGTGATGAAATCAAGGTGAAATTACAAATGTATCTGAGCCGCTCCACGCTTTAGTGAAGACACTACTACACCAACGGGAAAGCATCTCCCATCAGTGTAGTTAATCCAAAACCTGGGGCAGGTCTACACTACAGCCAGGATCGACGCTATGAGATCGATCCACCGGCAGTCAATTTAGCAGGTGTAGTAAATACCCGCCAAATTGACTGCAGACCACTCTCCAGTCAACCCCGTACTCTACCCCCGACGGGAAGAGTAAGATAAGTTGACAGGAGATTTTCTCCTATCGACCCCCGCCATGGTGTAGACCCTGTGGTAACTGAACCTAAGGTACGTCAACTCCAGCTATGTTATTCACGTAGCTGGAGTTGCGTAGCGTAGGTCGACTTACCGCGGTAGCATAGACATCGCCCTGGTCTACCCTACTGAGTTAGGTCAATGTAAGGCAGCTTACGCTGACCTAATTCTGTAAGCGACTATACTACAATGTTGCTCCCGCCGATGTAAGTTGCCCACTACACCAACCTAATAACTCCACCTCTGCAAGAGGAGTAGCACTTAGGAGGATGTAGTTAAGTCAATGCAGTGTCTGTAGACACTGTATTGCTTACATTACCAGTCCCTGCCTTTAACAGCCTGCCTTGGGGCTGACCGCTGGACAGGAGTGTAGCTACAGGTGGGCTTCGGCCCACCCGCTTAGCATCCAGGCCCACCCCCCAGCCCTAGCTTTGCTCCGGCCCCAGCACTAACCCCACCCAGACCTGGAGGACGCCGCACACATCTCCGGCCTGAATGGAGGCAGGAGAACAGCAGCGGCACAGCAGAGGAGTGCCTGACAACCACAGTGCACATGCCGCAGCTGAAGGAGGCTGGCCGGCTGGCCTCCCCAGCAGTGGCAATCATCAAAAAATGTAGGCCTGCTGCCTCGGGGAGCCAGGCCTGGCGTGGGGTGGTGTGACGGGGACTGGTGCTGGAAGCCGTGTGCACTGGAGAGCAGCGTCTCCACCCAGAGCTAGGTACGTGCAGGGGACCCGACCAGAGCATCCATCACCCCACACAAGGCCAGCTGGACTGGAGGGAAGAGTGGAGGCAGGCCCCCGATCCTTCCTGCCTCCTCTCCCCCATCATTGCCCGCCCACCCGAAGCTGGGGACCTTCCAAATATCCCATGCTAGCTACGCCACTTCCATTGGAGCCCCACCACTCCAGGGCCGTCAGCTTCAGCAATCAGCCCAGGGTGGCGGGGCTCCGGCAGTCAACTCTGCGCGTAGGTGACAGCTCAGGATGTCAGCCCCCCACAATGTCCCATTTAAGTCGGTGCAAGCACTCCAGGTGAGGATGCGCTCCACTGGCAGGAGAACAGACATGAACAGCCAATTTAATTACTGCGTTAGCTGTAGGTTGACCTAATTTAAGCCAACAAGCCGCATGAGGCCTAGCTATGTCCACCGGAGAAGCTGTTCTGTTACCACAGTGCTGTCTACAAGGGAGGGAGGAGGAAGGTCGGTATAACTATGTTGCTATGGGGTAGATTTTTCACACTCCTGAGTGACATAGTTATCCCAATATAGAGCTGTAGTGTAGAACTTGGGTAAGATCCACCAGCAAGTCACTGGGAGACTGAGGATCAGACTCCAGGAGTCCTGTCTCCCAGAGCTTCGTGCCCAGCTGTGAGATGGATGGACCCTGGTAAACACGCTACGACTGAGTGGCGCCTGGGCAACTGCTGGGCTAGGAGCGCCCCAGGGGCACTGGCTGGAGGAGCAGCTCCCAGCACGAATGGGGGGTGCGGGTCTTTACCTATCTCCGCCCCTAGCTGCTTGTTCAGCTCGGAGTCGCGGAAGGTCCTGGAGATGGTCTGCAGGACAGTCTCGGAGCTGCGCCTCCGGGGCAGCGCCTCGCTGTTCAGCTTCATCTCGCCCCCAGCAGCTGCGCCGCCTCCCCTGCAACATAAAACGGGCACCACCAGTAACGACAAACTGTCCCCCGGCTGCTCGCTGCGCAGCCCGCAGGGCCGCCCCCTGCACGTCCCGGCACCGCAGGCTGGACCCGAGTGTCGTGGAGGTGCCGGCTGTCCCGCGGCCCAGGCCCGCGCTGCGCGCTGGGGCCCGCCTCAGAGCCCGCGGGACGCCGCGCGCGGCCGCCCGTGCGTGACTCACCGTGTCCGCCGCAGGGGCCCATCCCGGCCGCCGCGCACCCGGCTCCCTTCGCGCCTCCCAGGGACTCCGGCCGCTTCCCGTTGCCAAGTAACGATTGTCGCCCCGGGTGGCCGCGAGCTCCCTGCGCTTCGCAGCCGCTGGACGCCCCCGCGCGCCCCCTGGTGGTGCTGAGCGTAGGGGGCTATTGGACGAGCCTGGCGTGAGGGCGCCAGTGACAAGGCTCTGGTGGGGGAGGTCCGGACCCCGCCCCCTCGCGGCTCTGCCCCGCGCTCGCCCTAAACCAGGGTTCAGCTGCGGGGTGACTCACCAGATTCAGCCAACCTGACAGGGCCCTGGCTGGGAGGAGCATCACAGACTGCTGGGCAAAGCCCCCCAACTGGGTCGAGCTGAGGGGACCGTCCCCAGTGTGTCTCTCCAGAAGGGTGCTAGTCAATTGAAAATGGAACCCACTTCCCCTTGGCATACAGCAGCAGCTCAGTGAGTTGCCTTGCATCCTTCCATTGCCTTCTAAGCACTGAGCTGCAAAGACACCCCTGAAGAGCCTTCTGCATTCTCAGTGGAGACCTAACAGAACAAGCATACTGCTTCTTGGTCAGGGGAGCATAGCCAGATTTTGGTGACTTTCTGTTGCAAGGCCAGTAAAACTGTGGACAATAGCAAAAATACCAGGAAGGACCTGGTCAGATTGCTAAAAAGCTGGTAGCCTTCAAAATTTTCCAGACTGACGACCAGTGCAGGGACCAGATTAAGCGGCTCAAGAGTAAGTACAAGAAGAATAGAAACTAGAACCACACCTCAGGCAATTCAGCAACTTCATGCCTGTTTTGTGAGGTGTTTGACCAGGTGCTGAGCACTATGTCCAACATAGAGCTAACAGTGGTCAGCCAGGATGGTGCCTTCTGTCCCTTGAATCCAGCATGGGATCTGATGCGACCTCTCTGCAGGCTCCAAGTGAGGAGCATGAAGTGACTGGTTATTAAACCAGTCCAGAGCAGGCTGTGGGACAGGATCAACACCAAATTCTGAGTCCATACTCAGAGGGACGGTTTGATGCCGCCCACCCCTAAGGAAAACCCCACTGCCAAGTTTGCAGCAAATCCAGAGGAGACAGAAGCTGTCCCTGAGCCTGGTAAGTTTCTGACTCAAAGTTTATTACTATAGTAATGGGAGGGTTTTCTGCTCCAAGGACCAATGCAACAATTATGGATAAGCTATTACCAGCAGGAGAGTGAGTTTGTGTGGGGGTGGGGGGGGGGTGAGAAAACCTGGATTTGTGTTGGAAATGGCCCACCTTGATTATCATACACATTGAAACCTGTCATTGTAAGGAGAGTGGTCACTTTATATTACCAGCAGGAGAGCGAGTTTGTGTGTGGGGGGAGGTGAGAAAACCTGGATTTGTGCTGGAAATGGCCCAACTTGATTATCATACACATTGTAAGGAGAGTGATCACTTTAGATAAGCTATTACCAGCAGGAGAGTGGGGTGGGAGGAGGTATTTTTTCATGCTTTGTGTGTATATAATAAGATCTTCTACACTTTCCACAGTATGCATCCGATGAAGTGAGCTGTAGCTCACGAAAGCTTATGCTCAGATAAAATTGGTTAGTCTCTAAGGTGCCACAAGTACTCCTTTTCTTTTTGCGAATACAGACTAACACGGCTGTTACTCTGAAACCTTACCTACAAATTCTTGATCTTTCTGCCAAGCCCAGCCCACCCCAGTAGGCACCAGGTTTGCATCGATCAGCTGTACTCCTCCCTGTTACTGATATTTCTTTGATCGTAAACCATGGATATCAAGGTTCTATCTTAATCCACTCCGACATAAAGTCTAGCACTATATACAATAATACAAAATGCCTCACAATTACAAGCCCAAGTTACAGCTGCTGTGGAAACTTACTTTTTAAAAATTCTTATTCATTGAAAATTTCAACTATAATACTGTATTAACATATTTTGCATATGTATAAAGAAATGAAACTAAGCATAAGAAATAGTATAAGATATGTTGTGCAGTTTTATCTTATACCCCCACATACCTTCAGCTACATAAGAAGTGTAGGAATCCAGTATACCTGCCTTTCTTGAAGTGGTTAGTTGCTTTTGCAGAATGTTCTTTACATTCCATTTGTCAAATGAAATAATTTTTAAAAAATGTCTTTAATGTGATATTTTAAAAAACTCCTCTGACAAAATCTTAAATTTTCAAGTATGGTTAGACGTATTGGACCATATTCTTCCTTGGAGTAACTCTACCAAAATTAATGGAGATGAATTTTTACGAGTCTGTTGGAGCCTAAAATCTGTTGGAGCTTCTGAAAAACAAAGTTTATAGCCCTCCACATATATCTGAAAGCATTCCTCTTATATTTCTATTGATAGCTGCTTTCTCCATTGCTATGGAAACAGATTGCACTGCCAAAAATGGAATGAGGAGCTTTCAAACCTCACTTGAAAAAAAAAAGGGGGACAAAATGGGAGTTTTGAAACTGTGATTATTTTAAAAGCACTTGTAACACTGTCTGGAGTGGTTCATGACCGTGAATCCCAACTTCAGGGCAGACTGTCAAAAGCACCCAAACTGGGTGTATATTCTATAGTTAGATTTCACCAGTAACAAAAGTGAACTCCTGGATCACTGTAGCAGTCTTTACCATTGAGTCACTTATACCAAAAATCACAAAATATTTAGGTTGCTCTCATACCCCAGAAGCTAGTCACTTATCCCAGATCAATTTGTACCTTAGATCTCACAACAAAGACAAGGCTGGTAGCCAATCCTATAGTAAACTAAATAAGGATTTATTAACTCGGAAAAAGAAATGGGAGAGATATGTTGCCTGCTTTAAACTGTACATAAATGCACAAATGAGTTCAGTCTATGGTTCCAAAGGTGACAAGATGGTTCCAAAAGGTGACTAGAGACTATCAAATAAATTGGTTGCTCTAGTGCCACCTTTCTGTCAGACTAACGCGGAAACGAGTGATCTGTCAACACTGAATGTCTTCTAAGGCTAATCCCAGGTTGACCCTGCGGATCTCTGCTTTTGTTTTTAGTGTCAGCCCTTGTCAGAGTTCAAACAGCAAAGAAATGAAAAATCTTCTCCTTCACTATTTTTATTTGCTTCTTCCAGCATTCAAACCAATGGGATGAGGCCTTCTTACTCCATGGGTAATGGGCAATTAACAAAGCTTTTATCCTACAATGGCCCACTTAATTTTGATAGCCCTCCTGGATGGGTAGAGCAGGAGCCACTCTTCTCATCTGAGTTCACAAGTTCTGAGCAGGCATTTTAACAATTAACAAACTTATATTTTACCTTGTGGCATGGAATACAGACATTACAAATAAGATTAATGCATGCAGCAACTTACAGTCATTTTATACTGTCTGAACACTAAACACATCCTTGCAAGTCTAATGCCCATTTTGAACAATATTAACATTTAGGTGACCTGGTCTGCTTTCCCGCTATGAATTTGTCAGTGGGAGCATTCACCTGACACCTACAGACTTGGCAAGAGCTGGCACCTGGTTTGCCAGCATGACAGCACCTTTACCACATTTTGCTAACATGATGTCGAGTCCTACAGAATGGGAGTGACAGGCAGAAGCTAGCTGCAGAAATGCAAAAATTCTTATAAATTTAAATGGTTATGGGCATGAGCACCCACTGAGAAAAATTAGCAGATGCTTAGCACCCACCGGCAGCCAAGCTCCCCACTCTCCCCCCAGCGCCTCTCCCCTGTTGGCAGCCCCGCTAATCACTCCTCCTTCTCCCTCCCTGTGCCTCCTGCCCACCATGAGCAGCTGTTTCGTGACATGCAGGTCTGCTCTGGGAGGCAGGGGTAGGAGCGGGAACGAGGCATGCTCAGGGACGGAAAGAGGTGGGGAAGTAGCGGAGCGGGGGTGGGAAGAGACGGGGTAGGGACTTGGGGGAAGGGGTGGAGCAGGGGTGGGGCCTGGGTCTGGCGGGGGGGAAGAGCCTTCTCATAACTGGTTTCACGAAAGCTTATGCTCAAATAAATTGGTTAGTCTCTAAGGTGCCACAAGTACTCCTTTTCAATTTGTAGGTAAGAGGACGATAAATCAATCCTGAGTGGCTGGCAGGACTAGTGGGAGAATCTGTTGTGCAGGTGTCCAGTCTGGGAGGGTGAGACATTTTGGGTGAGGTTTGGCTTGAAGCCAGAACCTGTAGGGCAATGCAGATGTATTGGGGGCCTTAAAATGTGGGGTGATCCAGGCCCTATTTAGCCTTATATCCAGAAGTAAATTAAACATCTGCAGTGTAGTTGTTATGATTGCTGTGGAAACCATAATTTTGAATTTTCTGGTACCTGTGCATTTGAAATCATAAGTGTCTTTTGGACTGAATTTGCTTGGTTTTGTGTGTGGGAATAAAAGACTGAATCCAGTAGTTGCACAGATGTGTTTATTTCAGTCTGAAATGAGAGAAGCAAAAATGGTCACACACTGAAGTAAATGCACTAACTAACGTGATGGGTTTGGTCACAGAGACCCCATTGAGGCTGTCACCTGATGTACTAGAATTAACTCTGAACCTGTTTTCCACTGCCAGCTGGGGACTCCAGAACCCTGCCTTGTTGAGCTAGACACGCTAGTCTGCTGCAACACAGACCCAGGTCTGGTCCACACCCCCAAAGCTGCAGACTTTAACTACAAACTGCTCAGCAAGTCACCTATCTCCGGCACCCAGACACCCAGTTCCCAATGGGATCCAACTCCCAAATAAATCCATTTTACTCTGTATAAAGCTTATACAGGGTAAACTAATAAATTATCCGCCCTCTATAACACTGATAGAGAGAGATGCTCACCTGTTTGCTCCCTCAGGTATTAATCACTTACTCTGGGTTAATTAATAAACAAGTGATTTTATTAAGTATAAAAAGTAGGATTTACGTGGTTCCAAGTAATAACAGACAGAACAAATATCATTGGCACAAGGCAGGAAACCTTTGTCTCTCTCTGGGTTCCCACCCTTGCTTCTAAATGGAAAAGCACCAGGTTTAAGATGGATTCCAGTATGTCACATGTCCTGTGAGACTTCATTACCCGGTGGCTGGCACCCACATATACTGGAAGGCTTACAAGTAAACAGAGCCATTTACAACCAATTGTCCTAGTTAATGGGAGCCATCAAGATTCCAAGCCACCATTAATGGCCCACACTTTGTTTGCATCATTACAGTAGGACTTCAGAGTAATACTTCATATTTCTAGCTTCAGATACAAGAATGACACATTCATGCAAATAGGATGAACACACTCAGTAGATTATAAGATTTATAATGATACCTTACAAGAGAATTTTTGCATAAAGCATATTCCAGTCACATTATATTTACACTCATAAGCATATTTCCACAAAACATATGGAGTGCAATGTTACACTCGGTATATTACATGTGTATCTGGAGCGCTGCAGCTTGTTATACATATATATTCCACCTATTTTGCATAGCTTCTGTTTATTTCAATATGTGAGTTAATTTTCTACATAGGAAAGGGAAAATGAGAGAGATTATTTATTAAAAATAAATGCATTGGTCTTGTAAAACTTAACTTCTGTTAAAGGAATACTGTTAAGGTTTGCAGGGATCAGATTTCACTTTTCTTTCTAAATCTGTTTTCCAAGTCCATTCAGTTTTGTTTTTCCAAAACAAATGATACAATGATCTTTATTTTTTAAAAATGATGCTAGTAGTCAGGAGTAACTTCCATAACAAACAAGAATGCATGTGTCATGGAGTCAAAAAAAGCTTGCAAAGGAAACAGAATTCATTTTAAAGTTTTAAGGCGGGAAAAGTTCAAGGGTATATTACAAATTGGAGACATGGTTAAAACAGAGTTCAGTTCAGTCTGTACTGTAAGACTGTATTTTAAATACCATAGAATCATTGGACTGGAAAGGACCTTCAGAGGTCATCTAGTCCAGTCCCCTGAAGGGAAACTGCCATGTAATTCAGTCTCCTGCCTCAGTTGATTTTATAGTGTAGACAAGACAGGAAGTTACTTTGAAGCATGAACCTAATGAGTATTTTGTCCATACTAAACATTTTGACATGGCTGTGTTACAAAACTGTGCTAAAATAGGCCTATGACTGGAGAAGTCTGTAGCATGGTTTCTTGAAGTATGATTGGTTTAAAACAACAAAACCCTGTCCATAGCAGACCCTGGAATTGCTCAGAGAATGCTAACTACCTCCATGTTTGAAAATGGTTGTCAAGCAATTGTGCTTGATAACAACTACTTCTGAATATGGTTGTAGCTATCTCTGTTCTATTTCAGTGGAAACAGGTCTATATATAATTTGATTTTGTCTATTTGGCTTGTGACAACATATGAACCTCAATGGTTTAGCAACTGAGGATCTGAAAATAAAAGTTATATTTTTGCTAGATTTATTTTTAATAGAAATGAGTTTGCCATTAAGGATTGGAGCACAGCCCTTTCCATAGGTCACCAGTACAAACCCAGCTCATCAAGTTGGTAATAACTTTGCCATAATTGTTGGCAATATCAACAGAGTCCAGTGACAGACTGGGCCCTCAGACAACTACCCTCTTCTTCCTTGAATGGGAAAATAGATGATCTTGTTAATAGCCTGGTTTCTGTTGGTTGAAAATGATGGATCGTATCAGTTTTCCCCTAATTCAGGCCTGGAGAGGTGGTCTCTCCACATCAGAGTTGAGAGCATTGGTAGGTCAGCATGGGCCAGCTTGCACAGCTGTAGCTAGTTATGCACCTATTCCATTTGCAAGCTCTAAACTCGCATGCACATTTTCAAAATACATTAATTAGGTAATAAATAAGAGAAGTGTGGGTCTTGCTTAAAACCATTCACTTCTGGATGAGTGTGACGGCAGGAGTTTTGAAAGTATCTTCTCACGGGGAGGCTTTGTTTCACGCTCCCGCATACGTGCATGAAGAAGCATATGTCTAGCTATCTATAGCTTCATAGAGAGACCAATAATTAGTCTAGAGGAATTGTTTTTCTTCCTTCCTCTCCTGCGGCTGCAGCAAAAAGCAAACAGGGGTGTCGGTCTGCGTGTGTGAATGTGTGTGATACGTGCCTAGCTGCACTACGCTCCATGGCCGCCCCACCTACCTCAGGCCCTGAGCTGCCCAGCCTTCCGTTGTGCTCTACACTGAAACACGTGCAAGGGGAGCCCGCCCAGGACGGCTGGAGAAAACACCAGAAGGAGCCAATCACCGCACAAGGGGGCGGGTTGAACTGCATGTGCTCCTGTTTGTGTACGTGCAGGAGCCGGTTTCCAGCAGAGAGGGAGGGGAGTTCAGGCTGGAGGTTCGGTTTTGGAGCGTGCACGGTGTCTGATTTGTGCTACATGCACTAGACAGAATCGGGGACAGGCGGGCTGGGCTTCTCCATTCGCCGCCCCAGAACATCTGCCGAAAAGAGACAATGTGGATGATGCTGGATTGCAGCTCAGAGGTGAGGCTGAGGAGTTTGCACGGTTGTTTCTGTGCGTTGTTGGAAGTCCAGGTGTTGAGTTGTTTGAAATGTAGTTTTACCACTATTGGCTAAACCCAAATCCCACTGATGTCAGTAGGATTTTGCCAGAGTTTAAAGATAATAGCCTGGTTCTTTCAAATTGAAAAGCCTATGATAAAGGGACATAAACATTAGATGACTGTTGGTTCTCTGTGAAGGGGAAGGTGGGGGGATACCTTCAGATTTTTCTGCTACTGTATAATTTATCTTTCAGGTCTAAGAATAACGTGAAGCTAAATGTTTTTTTAAAACACTTGTTTCCTCCCCTCCCGTAGCCTGACGGCTTGAGCCTCCTGCTTGAGGCGGGGGCTGGGGTGAATGCACCTGCAGATGCCTTTGGTCAGTCCCCAGCTCACTTGGCTGCTTGTGGAGGACAAGCTTTTTTCCTACTATGGCAACTGCAAACAGGAGCTAATCTGAACCAACAGGTACAAGTAATGCCTTTTTGTTTCTTTTTACTGCCTTATTTAAATGAGGCATGTTATTTGTATGAAAGGTATATTGTTTATGTAAATCTTTAGTTGTCACAGATTTGATGAGATATACAGACTAGTTGCCTGTGATTATTTGTTGCATCTCATCTATACAAACAATTTATTACATGAAAACAAGTGTCCTTTGTATGAAACATCTCTTCCCCAGTCCTCAATCAAAATCAGTTGTAAACGCTTTCAAAATAGACTCTTCCTCATGTAAAATGTACTTTAAAATTCATTCTGGTTATTGTGTGTTCCGATTGTTTTGTAGATATATAGGACCCCTATCAAATCTGAAACTTTCTTTGTCTCCTGATCTGCACATGGGAGAGAACTTCAGTATCCCCTTTTTCCTGTTAGGGTCTTGGGAACGTTCACATAATCTCCTTCCAATCTATATCAAGGTCTGTTACGGAGTCACACTTATCTCAATAGCAGAAATTTTGGTGATTTGCTTGTATCTCTGCACTTCGCTATGAATAGTGCCCTGTTACTTCCTACCTCTGTGTTTTGCTGGAAGAGCCTCCTGCGTTGATTAGTGAATGAATGTGGATATGTAGCAGAGGTGGGTCAAAAACTGTTTTCACGTCCCTCAAATATTTTCAAGTGTTCAAATTTGTTTTCCTCTCTCAGATCATGATGAAAAGTCAATCTCAGATTTTCACAGACCAAAATCAGGTCAGTGTTTTGATAACTTCAAAACATTTTATTTTGATTTGACCCTTACAGCTTCTTTTTTTAGTTTAATTAGCTTAAATTTCTACAAGAAAACTAATTTTGAATTGGAAAAACAGGAATTTTCATTTTGAAAGTGTCAAACAAAAACATTTTGTTAGGTTCTAAACTTTGAGATTTGTTAAATCCAAACCTGTTTTGTGATCAGTTTTGGTTTCGATTAATTGGCATTTTCTGATATTGAAAAATTCCCATCTAGCTTTGAGTACACATTTTGTATAAAAGCTGTTCGAGGAGATAAAGGTTTTGCAACAGATTTTGTATGTAATCTTCTAACAGCTTGTTACATGAATAAAGAATATTCTAAAAATACTTAATAGCATATTATTTGTATTTAACTGGATATATACTTTTCTGACCCATCTTTCTGACTTGTCATCAAAATTATGTCATCTAGAGTTCTGATGGTGCTCAAACTGGTTAATCTCTCCCTGCCACTTTATTAAGTGATTATGATATACTAAGGGTGAAATTCTGTTTTATGTTTTTAGGATTGCCATGGAGAAGCTCCTATTCATAAGGCAGCTAAAGTTGGGAGCTTGGAGTGTCTTGCTCTACTCGTTGCCAGTGATGCCAGAATAGAGTAAGTCAAAAACTACATTTAACTAATTCAAATATTAACCCTCAAAGAAGTTATTCATTTAACTTATTCCACTATAATCTTAACATACATTAACAAGAAATGTATGCTAATACAGAACTTTGTTTCCTGTTCAAACTATATTGTGGTAGTCGGAATGCAGTGTGTGCGTGCACGTGCATATTTTTTTAAAAAGCGTAAAAATATGGTGCAGCCATTACAAGTATTTATCATGATAGTCCACATACTGTACAACTATACCATTGTCTTTTAGTTTTGGCTTAGAGAAAAACCTCTTTACCACAACAGCTAAGAGGAGCTCACTGGTCATAGCTCCCTGGTTGGAGGAGCTTTCCATTTCATCTATTGGTTATACTGTTCTTACGTCTTATACTTGAGACAATTTCTTTGTTCTTGATTTTTTTGGTAGCTTATTTCTCTGTTTCAAATATTTGTGCACTTGAAATAAAAACATTTACTGAAGAATTAGGATGACTGCCTTATCTTACATAATGACAGGTTTCAGAGTAGCAGCCGTGTTAATCTGTATTCACAAAAAGAAAAGGAGTACTTGTGGCACCTTAGAGACTAACAAATTTATTAGAGCATAAGCTTTCGTGAGCTACAGCTACTGAATGCATCCGATGAAGTGAGCTGTAGCTCACAAAAGCTTATGCTCAAATAAATTTGTTAGTCTCTAAGGTGCCACAAGTACTCCTTTTCATCTTACATAGTGACAATTTGAAATTAATTGTGTGTTAACTTTTTTGTGTTTCAGTTTGTGCAATAATGATGGACAAACAGCAGAAGATCTTGCATGGGCTTTTGGATTTCTGGAATGTGCCAAGTTCCTCACAACTGTTAAACATACTCAAAATATGAAGCTAAGAGAACAACCTAGCTACTCACTTAAGGACAATTGTGGTTTGCCAAGAGAGGCTTCAGCTGGAAAGAAACGAGCATGTGGAATTATGGGACCCGCAAACAGAAAGAGGAGGAGATAAGATGGTATATAGTTTATGACAGTTTACACTACAAATTAGACACTTAGCTAGGACTGGTTTAATACATATCAGAATATTTTTAAACCAAAATCTCACACTTTTAGTATTTAAGTACATTACCTGAATTTGTCAGTAGATATGTAGTGGTGGTGAGGCAAGGCCCTTCAGATGCATCCACATATACTTATGTGGTAAGGCTGCTATTCATTCAGAATATTAATGTTGCATAGAAGAACATGCTGTCAGGACATATGTATGTTCTAATAAAGGGCCAAATTACTTTTGTGCATTGGGTCAGGGTGGATTGATTTAAATCAAAGCTATTTAAATCACTGATTTTAATAATTATTAAATCAACAAGGAGGAAAGCTTGATTTAAATAATGGCTTTTATTCTTTTTAGTTATTTTCCTCAAGAAAAGTTTATTCTTATTGGTTGGTAACCCCTTAAAACATGTTGATTTGCAAGTAAATATAGTCTTTTTGCTAACCAGGAGAGTATACTATATTTATACACATTAATTTAAGTAAGCATAAACCTTAACGACATACTCAATTAATTTTTTCCTTGTGATTTGTGTCAATCTCTACTTGGATGGAAATTTCAAATTCAATTAAATGTACAAAACGTTTTTTTAAAATTAAAATACAACTACCTATGTTTTCGGTAGAAAGCGAGAGGGATGCATTAAACAGCCATGCTATACTATAGCCAAGTGTTTTGATAAATTGAGATGTATACTTCTATTTTGTAAAGTAAGCTCTTTTGTTTTGAACAGATATTACGTCTTAGACTGCAGGTGGGAAAACCTGTAACCCTGAAAAGAATCTGAAGTCTGCAAAAACAACATTATTGGTCTGTGAACTTAAGCAACCCAGTATTTGATGTTCTGCTGTTTCCTTCTGAGGAGGAAACTTTGGTTACTTTTGCTTCTTGAAGAAGACATTTTTCTAGAATACTTGTATTCATACAGCTCTGTGTGTGTTCAGTTGTAGACTATGTATAATAGGGCAGTCTCTTCTCAGGTAAATAGCAAAACAAAGTTGATACTTAGCACATACAGTGCTTCTCTCTGGCTCCAAAGTGCTGTAGGAGATTAACATTTCGTTAAGTGGCATTCCTGCCTATCAAGTTGTTGTGTGATATTACTGGCTGCTGTCAAATGGTTACCACACTTCACTACAGAGGGGGCTCTATGGAGCCCTAAGGATTCTGCACATCTTACTAACAAGAGCTGTCTTTACTTTTATGAGCAAAAGCTGCTTACATGAGTAAATGTTAAAGGACCAGCCCCTAAATTTGTAAAGCACTTCAGGAGCCTTCAGAAAGCAAAAAACATTAAAAATATTAGATTAAGGTAAACTCCTTTAATTAAACTTGTCTATACAAGAATGCAGTTGAATGTGATTTACTCTTCTTCCATTTTTGATGTTTTTTATTTAAAAAGACATTTTATACTTAAATTGCAGTGTAAAGAATTCAACTAGCATTTTTATTTCAGCTACTTTTGACTGACAAAACACCATTTAAATTGAAAATAATTAAAATTTTTCTAAAGCTTTTTATTTTAAATAAGCCAGCTCTATCTGTACCAAGTCTTAAATTCTGGATTAACATGATTTTTTGCAATTGGAATTTAAATAGTTTTTGGTCGCTGAGGTAGGCAGAGGTTGTAGTAAGCATCTTTGCTCCAAAAGTCTGGGCCCTTCCATCCACACCAACCCTGTACAGGAAAAAGCAAAATAAAGCCATTTCTAAAACAGTTGTGTTTAGCAGATTTGGTCCATGAGTGCTGTCATACATTACAGTTTTTGTTGTTTTCATTATGCATATACTGAATTAATAGAACAGGCTCCATTTTTTGACTCAAAACAGCTAGAAACTACCATGCTGTTAAAATTGAAGTCTAATAGCAACATTATCTTCTGCCTTATGTTTTGAAGGTAGTAAGGTCATATCATATACTATTTTTAATCACATCAATTATTTTCAATTATAAAAATACACTGCGAAGTCTACTTTTTACAAAATAGTGCATACACTTGGCGTGGTCTTAGAACTTTACAGCATCCGAACTTAGACCCCAATTCTGCAAACATTTATGCATGTATTATATTTATTACAGCAATAGTTTTATTCAAATCAGTGAGACTGGTCAGGTGCTTAAAGTTGAGTGCATTTGTAAATTTCTTCAGGATTTATATTTAGAAATTAACAAATTAAGTGTGTGTGAAGTTTCAATTAACTGTGGAGTTCTATTGATATGATTAGACCAGTCTCAGGACTTGAAAAATTACCAGAAACCTACCATACTAATTTGAGGCAGATGCAAAAGTAAAGGGAGCTACCAGAATAGTTCAAGGACAGTATCCAACCTCAGCTACTGGGAATGGAGAGCATGCTGGATGGAATTCATACCAAAGTGCTTTCCCACCATTCAAAATCAGCCCCAGTTTAGTAGGTGTGATAAATCTGAAGCTGCCTTCCTCCTGTCTGGCTGTTAAGAAGGAGTTCTTTCTTCCCAATCTCAGAGCCTACTGCTGCCATGGTATCTGTTATTCTCCAACTCTGCCATTCCTAGAGCCTCACCATTTTTTATTATAAGATATCCTCCTCTCTGAATAGTTCAAATTTCTATCCCTCCTGCTGCTGACTTTTCTGGAGCAGCTGGCATAATGAAACTGATACAATTCATTGTCCTCAATTTCATATCTGCCTATAGGATAAACAGAACCTGACAAGTCTTATTAATTACACTCTGCTACTGCTTAGCTTTACTATGAGCAACGGCAGAGGAACTGGAGCCATCTATCTGCAGATTCACGAAGATGGAATTGCATGGTTTATCTTCCAAACTATAAAGACTAGACACAGCCCAAATGTATCCCCAAAATTTGCATGTATTCCTTTTAAAGGGACCCTGATAGCCTTTGTCTATATCACTATAAAAGATATTTACCTAATTTCAGGGAAACTCTCTCAAATTTTTATATTAACATGTATATAACCAGATATAAGAGACTCTGTTCTAGACACAAGGTGGTGGCATCAAGGATATTCAGTCCCGAGGCAAGTAAAGTGCATTCCTTCTTACTGTAAAAAAAAAAAAAAAAAAGTATGTTCTCCCAGACACTGCACCTCTACAGAGTCATTAAGCTCTACAGGCCAGATGTAAGGATATGCTGTACTGGTACATTCACCTGGCCTCTGGGCTGGCCACCAGGTGGAATCAGCATTTTCCTTTCAGTGATAGTGTCCTTCTTCAGTCCAGAGACTGAGCAAACTCAGTAGGGCTGAATTATATATAAACTGACCTTCTGCCCTAAAGGGCTGAAAGAAGTTTATTCCCAAATCTACATGTTTGTAAAAAAGATTACTTTTAAGAGAAATTAAAATTATGCAAGTAAAAAATAATTACAGTGCTATCTCTCCAACACTGGTCATGCCATATAACCATTTATTAATGTCATAAGTAGAAATTAAATGAAGTTAAAAATCTCACCTTTTCCAAGATAACATGCAGATCTTCTGCACCAGTGTAATGTGGGTCTAGAATCAGAAATTTTGTGTGTCCTGTAACCTCATTCCATGCCACTCCTAGTATTGTGTGAGCCAGAACGCCTCCACCTGGATTGGAGAAAATATATGCTCTTTCTAAGGCTTTGTACAGTTGGACAGACTTATTTTTGCACACATACATACGTTAATACTTTCTATTAGCCGACAGATCTATGAGTGAAGTTTCATTCTCTAGGCTATGAAAAATAGTAGGGTAACTGCATCGTGTGAGATCCTTCATGGAATATGATAGCCAAAATAAAGACAAATAAATAATTTTACTTAACAATTTGATCTCAGTCTCTCTCCCAATTCAGCAGTATTATGATCCCACCCCACCAGCTGAAGACATGAACATTTTGAATACACCAGTTATGTCCAGTCTATATAGAAATGGCCAGTTCTAGAAGAGGACCCCAGTCTAAGAAACTTCCTAAAAATAAAAAGACTAAATCAAAAAAAATATAATTGTTAATTTGTGAGCAATAAATCAAAAGAGGAGAAAAAGAAGGGATATGGTATGTATAACCAGAGCACAACAGTGTTTTGTTACTAGATACTAAGGTTGACACACACAAGTCTAAAATGTTAAAACTATGAGGATTAGGTGTAAAAGTCCATAAAGATAAATACCAGTTGTCTGTTTCTCACCCCTCCAACACAATTAGGCTACAAGCTGGGTGACTAGACTGAGTTAAGGAGGGACTAGAAGAAACCAAATAATATGTAAGTATTTCCTTTCTATTACATGCCCCAGGTCATTCTGGACATTAAGAATTTCAAAATCAAATACATTAGAGTGAGTACTGAGAACCACTTGCCATGGTAACCCTTGAAAAATCTTCCTGATTGCAGCATACCTCCTCCAAAGATGGCATCTGTAAATGCCTCAAGATCTCCCTATAATAGCAAGAAAGGATGTTTAGGTGGCCTTGCATAATCTCAATGGGAAGGTACCTCCCTATCTGGTCAAAGGTACATGATCCAGCACACTGCCAGAATTGTCCAAGACACCTGGTGGAGAGGCACCACTTTTAGCTTGGTAGCTTTCCTTAATTAATTCTCTCAACAATCTTGCCACAGAAGCTTTGGAAGTCATGAGCTTTTTTTCTTAGTATCTCCATACAGGATGAAAATCACTAGACAGATGTAGTTTAGAGGAGGTAATAAGTTTAAGAACCCATCTAACCATCACTGTTTCCATAGGTTCTCTGAGGACTTGGGAAGGAGCTGAATTTCTGAGCCAGGATGTCTGCTGTTTCCCACTCACTAGCTCAATGAAGATTAGGTGCAGGAAGAATGGTTTCTGGCTTTTCTTACTCCAACCTGCAACAGTGGGAGGGGACCTCTTGCTGAGTTGGCCTCAGCTCTACATGTAATCATCTCTTCAGCAACTGGTTACCTTGAGAGGAACCTGATAGTCCACTTCCATAGAATACAGCTCTGATGGTTCAGTGTTGTGGGGCCACAGAAACTCCACAAAAGGGAGTATAAAAGGGGAGAAAACCCACAAGAAAGGGTGGGGATATCAGTATGGGGGAGGGGAAATGATCGAACTTTCAAAAATTGTTTTATTTAGGGTCCTTGAAAGCCTGCAGTTAAGGCATGCGGGGCCTTTGGTGCTTCCACTAACAATACCAAGCACAGTGCACATCCAGATAGAAATTCCTTGGGATTTCTGGAATTCAGCACAGCAAAACTAACCCCCCAGAGAAGAATTCATAATGGTGGCGGGGGTTTTACAAGCAGAAATTAGGTTCCCTCAGAAGGGCTTACGCCAGGACTGGTAAAGCCACACGAGAATCAAAGGAAAATGTAGGCAGATGGGATATTAGTTTTCACAAGACAAATGAATTGATATGGGCTGGGAGATGCAGATTACAATGGGTCACATGCATTGAACCTATCTGAGATTTCTGAGGCTGGGGTCCTTGTGAAAAGCTCTTACACTGAAGCTTCTGAAGAAAAACACAGAGACCCAAGACTGAAGATTGTAAATTTACAGAGCAATTTCTACTTGCTGCTGATAAGTGGGTAGCACTTATGGACAGTTCTAGATGGAGCAGGGAAAGAAAAATTAAAATACCAAAAGAACTTCTTAATGACAAAGCACTGCCATATTCTATCAGGTCAGAAAGGGTGAGAAGAAGGTAAATGCCAAAAATCAAAGCAAAAAGAATAGTTAAAAAGCATATAAAGAAGTTTCTGCCTGCTAAGAAACAGGCAACTTTATCTGTCAGCCAGAAATGACCCTCTTCTAGGGAGTTGAAGAAATAAATTTTATTATAATTTTTTCTATCTTTACCTTATGATAGGGTGGTCAACATTACCCAGAGTTCAGACAGATCTGGATGACATTATAAATCCTTGTCCATAAATATGTTAAGACGGGGAATATGATTAAAATGAAAATAAGATATTTATATTAAGGCTGATTTTTAAAAAATGTTTTTCTCTACTTTTTCAAAGCACCATTCCCCTTCAGGACAGTATCAGTAAAAATTCAAATGTTCTTAAAATCCAAATTTCCTTACCTGTGTTACCAACATTTTAAATTATTAAAATATTTCATCTGGTTTTAGGAAAGAAATTTTTGCTAAGGAATTAAAGCCAATAAAAATGCTGCTCTTGAACGCTCAAGGGAGTTACTGCTGAGTAATACAAAATAATTCTCTAATAGTGTTGCTAGTGCGGGGAGCAGACTATTTTGTAAAATCAGAGTAGCTGGCTCACCGACCCTGGAATGCAAACTTCAAAACCTATTTGTTAGTCTCTTGAATTTAGAGAACATCATTCAGACCCACCTCAGCCAGCCTGCGCTATACTAAGTTTGGGGACCTAGATCACCATGAAAAGATACCAGCCAAATCAGCTTTTTATGGTCCTTCACCTTAGAGCAGATAAAAGACAATACTAAGGTGTGTATCTGAACTTGGTTAATCTTGCAATCTCCCTCGCTGCAGAGACTGTGAGGGAGATTCCCACACCTGAGCCATTCTTTTTAGGTGACAAATTGAGGAACAGTGCCAGATTGAGGTGTTGATAGAGGTTTCAGAACAAATTGATAAATGGTAATAAGTCACCAGAACAAGATGGTACTCACCCAAGAGTTCTGAAAAAACTCAAATATGAAATAGCAGAACTACTAACTGTGGCACGTAACCTATCACATAAATCAGCTTATTTACCAGATGACTGGAGGATAGCTAATGTGTTGCCAATTTTTAAAAAAGGCTCCAGAGGCAATCCTGGCAACCCCAGGCCTGTAAGCCTAACTTCAATACCAGGCAAACTGGTTGAAACTATAGTAAAGAAAAGAATTCTCAGACACACAGATAAACATGATTTGTTGGATAAGAGTCAACAGGGCTTTTGTAAAGGAAAATCATGCCTCACCAATCTATTAGAATTCTTTGAGGATGTCAGCAAGCATGTGGACAAGGGTGATCCAGTGAATATACTGTTCTTGGACTTTCAAAAAGCCTTTGACAAAGTCCCTCACCAAAGGCTCTTAAGCAAAGTAAGCAGTCATGGAATAAGAGGGAAGGTCCTCTTATGGATCAGTGACTGGTTAAAAGACAGGAAACAAAAAGGGTAGGAATAATTGGTCAGTTTTCAGAACAGAGAGAAGTAAATAGTGGGGTCCTCCAGGGATCTGTACAGGAAGCTGTGCTTTTCAACATATTCATAAATTATCTGCAAAAAGGGGTAAACACTGAGGTGGCAAAGTCTGCAGATGATACAAAATAAATCAAGACAGTTAAGTCCACAGCTGGCTGCGAAGAGTTACAAAAGGATCTCACAAAACTGGGTGACAGGGCAACAAAATCATAGATGAAATTCAATGCTGATAAATTCAAACTAATGCATATTGGAAAACATAATCCCAACTATACATACAGAATGATGGGGTCTAAATTAGTGGTTACCACTTAAAAAGAGATCTTGGGTCATTGTGGATACAGTACTTCTCTGAAAACATCTGCTCAATGTGCAGTGGCAGTCAAAAAAGCTAACAGAATGTTAGGAACCAATAGGAAAGGGATAGAGAAGAAGACAATAAATATAATGAGTAAGAAAGTTCCTCCTCTACCTTGGTGGGTCTTGCGCTTACTGACAGATTTGCTCACCTTGGAGCTTCACGGCAACCCTCAGTTTAACTGTTTTTGTGAACCCACAGTCCGGGTCAACTCCTACTGTGTCTGACCAGGAGTTGGAAGGTTTGGGGGGAACCCAGGGCCGCCCTCTACTCCAGGTTCCAGCCCAGGGCCCTGTGGAATGCAGCTGTCTAGAGTGCCTCCTGGAACAGCTGTGCGACAGCTACAACTCCCTGGGCTACTTCCCCATGGCCTCCTCCCAAAACCTTCTTTATCCTCACCATAGGACCTTCCCCCTGGTGTCTGATAATGCTTGTACTCCTCAGTCCTCCAACAGTATGCATTCTCACTCTCACCTCCCAGTGCCTCTTGCTCCCAGCTCCTTACACGCGCACCACAAACAGAAGTAAGCTCCTTTTTAAACCCAGGTGCCCTGATTAGCCTGCCTTAATTGATTCTAGCAGCTTCTTGATCGGCTGCAGGTGTTCTAGTCAGCCTGTCACAGTAGTCTCCAGAAGGTTCCTGATTGTTCTGGAACCTTCCCTGCTACCTTACCCAGGGAAAAGGGACCTACTTAACCTGGGGCTAATATATCTGCCTTCTATTACTCTCCTGTAGCCATCCGGCGCGACCCTGTCACAAATGCCACTATATAAATCCAGGGTACAACCACACCTTGAATACTGGTCTCCCCATCTTAGTAAACATATATTAGAAATGGAAAAGGTACAGAGAAAGGCAACAAAAATGATTAGGGGTATGGAACAGCTTCCGTATAAGGAGAAATTAAAAAGACTGGGACTTTTCAGCTTGGAAAAGAGATGACAAAGAGGGGATATGATAGAGGTCTATAAAATCATAAATAGTGCGGAGAAAGTACAGTAGAACCTCATTGTGATGAACACCAGTTACAAACTGATCGGTCAGTCACACATCTCATTTGGAACCAGAAGCATGCAATCAGGCAGTAGCAGAGACAAAAATAAATAAATAAAGCAAATACAGTTCAATACTGTGTTATATGTAAACTACTAAAAAAATAAAGGGAAAGTTTAAAAAAAATTGACAAAGTAAGGAAACTGTCTTTGTGCTTGTTTCATTTAAATTAAGATAGGTAAAAGAACATTTTTCTTCTGCATAGTAAAATTTCAAAGCTGTATTAAGTCAATGTTCAGTTGTAAACTTTTGAAAGAACAACCGTAACATTTTGTTCAGTTATGAACATTTCAGAGTGATGAACAACCTCCATTCCCAAGGTGTTCATAACTCTGAGGGTCTACTGTACATATGGAAGTGTTATTTACCCCTTCATATAACACAAGAACCAGGGGTCACCTGATGAAATTAATGAACAGCAGGTTTAAAACAAACAAAAGGAAGTACTTCTTTATACAATGCAGTCAACCTTTGGAACTTATTGCCGGGAGATGTTGTGAAGGCCAAAAGTATAACTGGGTTAAAAAAAGAATCAGATAAGTTCATGGAGGATAGGTCCGTCAGTGGCTAGGGATGCTGTCCCATGCACTCGGTGTCCCTAGCCTCTGACTGCTAGATGCTGGGACTGGACGACAGGAGATGAATCACGCAATAACTGCCCTGTTCTATTCATACCCTTTGAAGCATCTGGCACTGATCACTGTTGGAAGACAGGATACTGGTCTAGATGGACCAATGGACCAGTATGGCCATTTTTATGTTCGGGTTGTTCTGGATACCTAGAATTTCCTCTGTATACACTCACTAAGTAGTGTATATGAAAATAAACCTTGACAGAAGTGACCAACAAACATTCATTGGCATTTTTCAAGAGTGAAAGGCTTACCAATCATAACTGGAGTTCCTTCAGTCTTGAAATGATTAGCAAGTTCTCTTCCCTGAGAAGCTAGCTCAGAACCCTGGCTGTATAAGAAACACAACATTAGATTATCCTCTTTATTAGGTTTCATTTCCTATTTATCTCTTTCACTAGTTAGCCATATACATTTGTAATTCCTATGCTATATAATGAGAATTTAAAAAAATATATTTTATTACACCCCCTCCACCCTGAATAACACTGTAACAGGACTAGGAGTTTTATAATACAGGAAAACCACACTGGAGTAAACTTAACATTTGTGCTCACACAAGCTGGTGCAACCACCCAATATAATTTAGAGAGAAGAGTATGATAAGTTCTATCCAATTCAGACAGTGTCACTGAAGGATGCCTGTTGGGAGCTGTGCCTCTCAGTGAAAAGAAAGATACCACGATAACAGCTTCATGGTGGCTTCAAACTGGAGGTTTATGGAAAAAGATTTAAGAACCTCAACTAAACAGCCCCAGGGTTCTCTCAACAAGAGAGAAATCTACATTCTTATTTAATGGCAAAAAACTTTGTTAACAAGGATTTAAGGTTGCCTGGGGGTTCTTGCCGAGTCCAGGGGGGCCGAGTTAAGGCTTGGACTTAACTCTGCATTCCCTGGTTTTTAGAAGTTTGAGTTTTGCTAATCTTGACGTTTTGGAAGGGCACAAGCTATAACTGGGCAACCATAACTCTGTGTTAATGAAGTATTTGTCATTTAATCTCCTAAATTTTTTAATCGGAAGAGAAACGTTTGTTGGTAGGAGTTAATGTTCATTTAGGCAGTGATAGTTTTCACCTATGTTTGCAGTTGATGTGCTACTATGGCTTGTAATAATCAACAGACCTAGCTTTTATACAGTGTTTTTCACCAGTAGATGCAAAGAACTTTACATCATTATCCCCATTTTACAGATGGTAAACTGAGGCACAGAGCGGGGAACTGACTTGTCCAAAATCAACCAGTCCCATGGTCTCTGGGCCCCACAGATCCTGGCAAACACATACAGACAGAGAGAGGCTCAGACTCCGCCAAGAGAGGTAGCCCCAGATCGGGCATACATATGGGAGGGGATGTGGGGCTGGCAGGATCCTCTGCCCCAATTCTCTGCAAGTGCCACATCACACAGTCCCATGTCTCCCTTCCCAGTCTCCCACTCCTCCCCTCATGCTCCATGTAGCCCCCATTGCTCCCCCTCACCTGACCCCAAACCCTCTCCTACCCACATATCCTCAATTATTCCCATCGCCATAATTGCCCCCTCCTTGCTGAACCCAAAACCCCTCTCCCCTGATTCCCACCTACTCTTCCACCCCAATCACCATCCCTTACCAGTGAGCATTTGCATGTGTATTTATTTTCTTTTCAAAAACAGTTTCAGTGACTTCTGAATATTCTGCTGAACTCAGATTATACTTCCCCAAAACAAAAAACCCTTGCCAGGGTCAGACTGTAGCAACATGCCTCCTTTTTATTTCAGATTTCTGCTTAGAGTTGGACTTAAACTCACAGAGCCTGGGCAGTGCTCAGGTCCAATGCCGGCAATATTCCCCCTTGAGCCACTCAGGCCTTGTGAGTCATAGCTGGCTTTCAGCTCCCTTCACTTATTTCTCTGCACATGTGCAGTGGAATCCATTTGGTGCATGAGCACCTATACCCTGGGCATTGAACTCAGGCTGCCAACTCCCTTTGCACATGCCACTAACCAATTTGCAGTTATTACAAACTGTTGACTAACATACACTGGCTACCAAACATATTCATTATGCTGATTATAACCACCGGCAATACATATATTTTAAACATTTAAATATACATATTAAGTATTACTATAGCAACCATATAGCCTAGATTGGCCTGCACCTTTGTTATAATCCTGAACACTTATGCTAAGTATCCCATAATGGCTTGCATTAGCTGACATAAGCCTTGGATTGAATAGACAGGAAAACTCTAAAGTATCAGGACCGATGATTATTTCTTTGTAAAAACAGGAAAAGAGCTGCCCACACAAGTCCATTAAGTGCCTTCCTCCCCCTTAGTACCTGGAATACTCTCACAAAAAGATAAGACTCCATCATAACCTGGAAGACATTGGACACACCATGGTACCAGAACAAACAAGGCAAAAAGCTGACTGACTAAATAACATATATGGTATCCTTCTCTGGTAAACATGCAGGGTCCAAAAGGATGACTTTAGGGGCATAGCTTCGGAGAGCACCCCCTTAGCCTAAGGTGAATGTAACACTGCTGCATGGGACTGCTCTTCAGAGACTGGTATCGTATCGAACCTTTTTCCTGTACCCTATTAATAAACCTGACTGACACTGGTTATTTGATCTCTTGAGTATCTCTCGTAACGAACCAAAGTACGGTCAAGCAATTGACTATACAATTTATAAACAAAACTTAGACCCAATCCTGCAAAGAGCTCTGCACAGACAGATCCCCTGTGCCTGTGCCTTACTTCAGTGGGGCTGGATGCAGGGGCCACCAGCAGAAGGTCCTTGCAGGATTGGGGTTAATATCCTATTACTACTAATAGTCTCTTAAGTGATCCATTCTTCACCACAACACTTTCCCCCAATAAAGAATTAATCACAGAGACACAAAATTAACAAATATTCATTCTTACCTGACAAACAGTATTTTTGAAGTTATTCCTAATAACTGGTTCAATACAAGTTGTACCTCAATAGAGCCAATCCACTGCCGCGACCCAACAAATGCAGCTGGTTTGTCTCCAACATCAACTAGTGCCTTTGTAACACACATCCCATAAAGAAAAAAAGAAACAGTATGTAATGGACATTTTTACAGTTTCTACCTATAATATTCACTTAATTCACATACAGTATAATATTTCTGGAACCTAACTTGTCAAAAGCAGGCACACATTTACTGAATACAGGTATGACTGAATATTAAATGAAACAAAAGATCCTGTTTAAAAATGGTAACATTTTTTCTGTCCATGTTGGAAACATTTTCTTTTCTCAAACACCAGCTGGGAAATAAATATCACTAAATGTAGCTTGAAGAAATATTACTATTTTATTACATTTTGAAAAATTAGAATAGCTCTACCGGCAAATATTTCACACAAATACTAGTTATATATTGGATCTAACTTCTTGTTTACATTTAACACACTTCCTGGAACTCCCTTCAACATGCTTATATCTGTTAGGAGGGTATTTGCAGTTTCTCCTTCCTTGGTGTTCACACCTGAACTACTAGAAGAGGGCCTCATCCTCCCTGACTGAACTAACCTCGTTATCCCTAGCCTGATTCTTGCTTGCATATTTATACCTGCCTCTGGAATTTCCACTACATGCATCTGACGAAGTGGATATTCAACCACGAAAGCTTATGCTCCAATATGTCTGTTAGTCGATAAGGTGCCAAAGGACTCTGTCACTTTTACAGATCCAGACTAACACGGCTACTCCTCTGATATATAATATATTAGAAATTCTGTGCATATTGCCAATTACAATTTGATTTTAAAATCTTAACTGTATATTTAATCTACAACTCTTCAGATTTTTTATTTTACATTCACCGTGACTTTATTCAAATTCTATTTCTATACATAAAATACTGAAAATTATGTATGTTTTGATTTTATTTCTGCCATCTGAACTGAATCAATTTCATTCTCAAGTGGGTTAACAGTCAACATTTTAGCTACCGTCTACTTTTTATAATCTGATAAAGATTCAGATCGAAAGCCCAGTATAAGTATTACTGTACAGTCTAAACACTTTCAAAATCGCGATGCTGTCAAATAAATAAATATAACCCAAAACACTATTTTCACAAGACACTAAAGATAAAAGTTGAGAGTTTCTGCTGATGTACAGAATGCGCTCACCAAACATGCATTGTTTCTCCAATGGTACTAACATAACTAAACATATAAGACACACATGCACACCTCTCACAAAGAAGAGAATGTTAATTTCTGGAACATTCCAAAGAGAAAAATACCCTCACGCTCATGCACACACAACATCTGCCAAATAAGAAAGGAATAAATCAGTCCTTATTAATCTGGGGCCTGATCCAGCTCGGAATTGGATTGGGCCCCCAAATCTCTCACATTTGGTAAACATTGTGAGTGTGTATTTTGTCTGTGTTATGATTTGAGATTCCAAGAGACTACCAACCAAAAGAACTTATAATAAAAATCTTATTTCATGAAACTCTTTTGAAGAAAGGGGAAACTATTTTAACATCAGTCATTTAATGTACATAACTGGAAACAGAATCCATTACAACAAAATGTTCTAGAAGTGATACTTCAGAAGTCTTACAGATAAATGTGAATAGTAACTATGAACGGATTAAATTAGGTTTTTTTTTTTAAAAAAAGAGTTTATTCCATAGAGCACGTTAAAATCAATGGAATAGTACTTTTAATTAGTTCTACAGCATTAATTGATTTTTCAAGAGGAATACAGTAAATACACATGAAATGCAGTCTGTTTCTTTGTCCTGTACCTGTTGAATCTCCTTGTGTGTAGGTATAGATTTCCCTGTGTAACCCTGATGCTTGAACCATGAACAGATAGTCTGTAGAGACCGGTACGCACATCCCCAGCCATTATCATCTATTCGATCCTGCATATAATGATGATAACTATATACACCATGTACCAAATACACCTGAGCAGAAAAAGAAAAGACAAAAAAAAAAAAATATCTCTATCTCAGGAGCTGTTGTCTCAGAAGCTGAATATTTATTATTTGATTTTGACACTTGCAGTTTGTTAGTTTTCAAATGATTGATTACGATTCATGAGAGAAATAGCTGTGAGACTTCTTGCTTCCCCATAGCCAAGACATAACTTGAAGATTTTGGTTTGTTTGGTTTTTTTAAAGAACAAGGGAGAAATTCTTAAAGTGCATTTTTATAATTCAGTTGTCAGCTTTTTAAACTGAATCAGTGATATCTTGTCACTGGACTTGTAAGCAATTTTCTGTAAATTCAGGGACACAGTCAGAATGTTTTACCTGGCATATTGATGTCTCATGTTAGGGGATGAATTCAAATAGCAAATCCTAGAGGCCAGTGAAGTGGTGGTACAGACAGTTAGGATCATGATCTAGCTAGAGTATGGGTGCCAAATGCAGTGTTGATTGAATCATTGTGAATTAATTTAACAGGTCACAGTAACATCTAGATATTAAGCCAATTAGATCACTTGCTTGAATGTGTAGCCCCATGCAGAGGAATCGCTATCAGACCACTGTCGTAAGAACATAAGAATGGCCATACTGGGTCAGACCAAAGGTCCATCAAGACCAGTATCCTGTCCTCTGACAGTGGCTAATGGCAGGTGCCCCAAAGGGAATGAACAAAGAGGTTATCATCAAGAGATTCATGCCCTGTCACCCAATCCCAGCTTCTGGCAAACAGAGGCTAGGGACACCATTCCTGCCCATCCTAATAGCCATTGATGGACCTATCTTCCATGAATCTATCTAGCTCCCTTTGAACCCCCATTACAGTATTGGCCTTCACAACACCATCTGGCAATGAGTTCCAGAGGCTGACAGTGCGTTGCATGAAAAAATATTTTCTTGTGTTTGTTTTAAACCTGCTATCTATTAATTTCATTTGGTGACCCCTTGTTCTTGTATTATGAGAAGGAGTAAATAATACTTCCTTATTTACTTTTTCTATACCACTCATGATTTTATAAACCTCTATCATATCCCCCCTTAGTCGCCTCTTTTCCAAGCTGAAAAATCCCAGTCTTATTAATCTCTCCTCATACAGAAGCCGTTCTATCCCCCTAATAATTTTTGTTGCCCTTTTCTGAACCTTTTCCAATTCCAATATATCTTTTTTGAGATGGGGCAACCACATCTGCACGCAGTATTCAAGGTGTGGCAGTACCATGGATTTATAGAGTGGCAATATGATATTTTCTGTCTTATTATCTATCCCTTTCTTGATGATTCCCAACATTCTGTTCGCTTTTTTGACTGTGACTCCTGCGGGACACCACTATTTACCTCTCTCCATTCTGAAAACTGACCATTTATTCTTACTCTTTGTTTCCTATCTTTTAACCAGTTACCAATCCATAATAGGACCTTCCCTCTTATCCCATTACAGCTTACTTTGCTTAATAGCCTTTGGTGAGGGGACCTTGTCAAAGGCTTTCTGAAAATCTAAGTACACTCTATCCACTGGATCACCCTTATGCTTGTTGACATGCTTGTTGACCCCCTCAAAGAATTCTAGTAGATTGGTGAGGCATGATTTCCCTTTACAAAAACCATGTTGACTCTTCCCCAACAAATCATGTTAATCTGCTTCTTTTACTTTGTTGTTTAGCGACGGTTGCACTTTTTTGGTTCTCTAACTATATTTTTTAATTTGAGGTATACATTTAAGTTAAGCCTCTATTATGTGGTCTTTAAAAGATTTCCATGCAGCTTGCAGGGATTTCACTTTTGGCACCTTTTAATTTCTGTTTAACTAACTTCCTCAGTTTTGCGTAGTTCCCCTTTCTGAAATTAAATGCTACCATGTTGGGCTGCGGTGGTGTTGTCCCTGCTACAGGGATGTTAAATCTAATTATATTAGAGGAAGGCAAACAATTTACTTGCCAACAGATATTATATGTTACTGAAAAAAAAAAATCAATGTTGGAGGCACACCAATATCCAATATTCTAAAACCCCTTATCTCCTAATTATTGTAATTAAATCTAATTGTATTAGAGGAAATGCAAACAATTTCCTTGTCAACAGACATTAGATACCACAGGAAAAAAAAATCAATGTTGGAGGCACACCAATATCCAATATTCTAAAACCCCTTATTTCCTTAACTAAGTTATCAATAATTTAAATTTATTTTTTAAACAATAACCTAAATTTGGGGCAAATTTGACCTGAGAGAGTTATTCTGTATCAATACTGGAAACTACTGTACATAGCACGGATTCTAAAACTCTATAGTATATCCCCATGGAAGTTGCAAGAGGGCATGGTTTTTTTTTTCCCCTGACCCCTCCTGGTAGCTGCTTTTAATCCTTTGTCCTCTCCCTATTATTACAGTACTACTCACAGCAGTTTCTACAGCCAAAGCAGTATACTATAGCAGTAGGAGCAACAGAGAAGCAGGAGGGAGCTACAGACACAGCTGCAGAGATACAGAGTTTTAGAAAACTCTTATTCTAACAGCAAGATCTGTACTATCAATAATACATTATAATAATTTTATTTATCCCATCCAAAGGCCTCTGGAACACCTTAATGAAAAGGTAAATGCAATACTTAGTCCCTTTCTTTTAATGTTGTCTCTTCCCCTTCACTGCCTGAGGTCTCATACCATTATTTTTTGCAGTATCCATTTAGATTGTACAGTTTCTGAGGCCAGGACCTGGTCTTATATCCGTAAAGTGCCATCCACATACCAAAATTAATAATAAAAGCAATAATAGAATTAAAAACAGAGACCTGTACCCTAACATTTTGCCAGAGCAGATCTAAAGACACTAACAAACCCCACATCACTCTCTACTACTAGACATTAAACAAAAATATACAATCAAAATGACAATGGAAATAGAAGTCAGTCTTGAGTCTTTCCCTGAAGGATTTTAATGACACGTTTAGGTGTATCTAAAGAGAAGGGGTGAGACAAGGAAGAGAATTAAAGAGCCACAGTCCTCCAGTCCCCCCCACAAACTTCTCTCAAGATTATAATTCATGAAGATTACCGGTGCCATTCTTGAGACTCTCACCTGTCATCACAGGACAATCAGCAACATAGTCCCTCAATTAAGATTGGTGCTATAAGGTCCTACCAGACAGAGAAGATTATGACGCATGAGCACAGACCTGAAGTTCTCAACTTTTTCCATATTTGGGATCTTCTTTTCTACACCAGAATCACCCAAAGACCTCCACTTTCCTCCAACTCGGATCCATCTCCATTTAACAGTATGAGAAAGGATTGGGTGGTCACGAATCTCATCCTGAGAATCCATGATAAAGGCCGAAGGTTCTCCAGCTTTTTCATTCTACAGACCACTTTGTCTGAGAGAGATTGTTTCACAAACTCTCTTCATTGCTTGGTTCTCAAAGTGTTTCATTTTGTAGACCTTAGTTTGAGAATGTTGGCGGAGACTTTTGAAGAGCAAATCCTTTGACTGTTTGGTTCAGCTGTAGCTGTCAAAATGGCTTGTAAGGGTACACTCACACTGAAATGTTTGTCTATAGCTTTAGCTCGCTGCAGTTAAGTCCACAGTTTCTAAATATTTTAAAAATAAAATTAATTTCTCCTATGACTGAAAAGAACTGAGCTTCCAGGTTCCAACTTGTGAAACTTGTCAACCTATCTAGAGATAACAGCATCTCTAGAAAGGGTGGGCAAAGAATGAGAGCCTGGATTAATTTCCCTGCCTTATTCATTTTTAGCTTTCAGTAGTTGTTTCACATACAGTCAGAGATTTTAGTCAAGTAAAAAGGCTACCATGATGACTACATGAAATGGAAATGTAGCATTGGGTATGACATCAGATTTAACATAAGAATATAAGAATGGCCATACTGGGTCAGACTAAAGGTCCATCAAGCCCAGTATCCTGTCTACTGACAGTGGCCAATGCCAAGTGCCCCAGAGGCAGTGAACCTAACAGGTAATGATCTAGTGATCTCTCTCCTGCCATCCATCTCCACTCTCTGACAAACAGAGGCTAGGGACACCATTTCTTACCCATCCTGGCTAACAGCCATTAATGGACTTAACCTCCATGAATTTATCCAGTTCTCTTTTAAACCCTGTTATAGTCCTAGCCTTCGCAACCTCCTAAGGCACGGAGTTCCACAGGTTGACTGTGTGCTGAGTGAAGAACTTCCTTTTATTTGCTTTAAACCTGCTACCCATTAATGTCATTTGGTGGCCCCTAGTTCTTATATTATGGGAACAAGTAAGTAACTTTTCCCTATTCACTTTCTCAACACTACTCATGATTTTATATACCTCTATCATATCCCCCCTTAGTCTCCTCTTATGTTCTTATGATGTGATTTCTGATTATCAACAATATTTATGTAAAAGAAGCATTCTCCTATAAATGCCTCAAGTGAAACTTACCATACCAGCCTCTATGACAGGTGGATTGAGGTATATGTGTGGATTTCTGAGATAGCCATCTTTATATGGTTCGTCTGGAAAGCGATAAGCATTCGCTCTTCTTAAATATGGTCTATCAGAGGGCAGATGGAACAGTTCATGTAATTCCTATAAGTAAGTCAGAATCAAAATGAAGGGATAACAAACAAGAGAATAATTCAAGTTTCTTTAAAATAATTACTCCAAATGGTAGTGAAGTTTTCATAACCAATATTGTTTTTAATATCGCAGTCTAGAAATTGTTACACACTAAAACCTCTAGAATAATCAATATTGAATGTATGTGTTTAACACTAACATGCCAGTACTGCAAAGAACTCTATGCAGGTAGCCCCTTATGCCTATGCAGAGACTTATTGAAGTGAACGGGACTCAGCATGGGCTGGGAGCTCTTTTCAGGACTGGGGCCTCAATTACAAATAGAATGTATGGCAAAAAGTGCAATCAAAAAGAGATTAATTTTATGAAAATAATACACAATGTTAAATAGTACTGAGAATAAAGAAATATGAAACAATTTGTCTATCTGACATATTATTAGAAATTAAAGAAAATGAGCTCACATTTTGAGCAAATTCTATTCTTTTTGTAAATATAATCTCTTAAACACCATCTGGCAACTGAGTGAAAACACAATTAAACTGAGAGAACTGAACAATCCTTATACAAGTACATGTAAATGGAGACCCTCACTATTTTAATTAATAAATTCCTGTATAAATCCATTTAGGTTCTCTTATACAAATAACCATAAATGTCTGTTTATGAAGAAAAGTGCCTGATGAACACTTTAAAAATATGTTTCAACAAACCAAATATATATATGTTCAGTATTCTGTTCGGTCATAATTACAAATCATGCTCTGTCAATATTTGGTCTACAGCAGCTAACTTTACCTTTCTGTAAGTCTCTAGCTGATTATCTGAAATGCCTGTAGGATACGAAATTGTTACAAGGTGCTTTTTTCCTGGTAGCATGAAGTGAAATTGTTCAGGTACCACAATAGATGTTCCCTTCATATATTTCAAAATGCATCTTTCCATATCAGTTAGTTGCTTATGAATTGCATTCACCAGGAGATTTCGTACACTATGAGATATAAGGGAAAATATTTAAGAACTAGAACACCAGCAATGCTGGCTCATTCTTATAGCTATACAAGCTTCAGAGTGGTAGCCGTGTTAGTCTGTATCAGCAAAAACAATGAGGAGTCCTTGAGGCACCTTAGAGACTAACAAATTTATCTGGGCACAAGCTTTCGTGGGCTAAAACCCACTTCATTAGATGCATGGAGTGGAAAATACAGTAGCAGGTATAAATACACAGTACATGAAAAGATGGGAGTTGCCTTACCAAGTGGGGGGTCAGTGCTAACGAGACAATTCAATTAACGGTAGAATACCAAGCGAGGAAAAATCACTTTTGTAGTGGTAATGAGGGTGGTCTATTTCAAACAGTTAGCAAGAAGGTGTGAGTAACAGTAAGGAGAAATTAATATGGGAAAATTTAATTTTCCCCTACTGTCACTCACACCTTCTTGTCAACTGTTTGAAATGGGCTACTGTATTTTCCACTCCATGAATCTGATGAAGTGGGTTTTAGCCCACAAAAGCTTATGCCCAAATAAATTTGTTAGTCTCTAAGGTGCCACAAGGACTCCTCGTTGTTATAGTATACAAGTTCCCCTCTCCCCACTCATACCCACCTCCACAACCAGTTTAATGCACCTGCTGCTCTTATCCCTCCTTCCACCCATACCAGCAGATGTGAGCAGAGTCTTGTCAGGTGTTGCTCACAACTCATATGTACAAAGATGATTCCACTCCAATGACTCAACCGTGGAAAGTACTGCATATTCTGGCCTCAATTCAGCAAATCACCCAAGCTGAACTGGAAGTACTCATGTGCATAAAGTTAGGCATGTGCCTAAATGCTTTTCTGGATTGCAGCCACTGTGTTCAGCACCTTGCAGGGTCAAGCCCAAAGAAAGAGTGCTGTGGATATCACTTCTGTATTGTTTTCCACCTCAGCCTGTCCAGGTGCATATGTGACTTCCTAAGCACAGTACTGAGACAACAAGCATTTATCAAACATTCCTCTCTCTCTCACACATGTATCTGTGTGTATTTACTGTAATTAAAAGAAACTGATATAATATCTTTTGAATATTTTCCTAGCAATCTGCATTTCTTTTTGAGTGACGATAAAGAATTGGCATAATTATCAAACATTATGTTAAACACCGATTAGCTCCAAAAACCCTAATGAACATTAAATAACATAATGCTAGATGATAATAAAACCCTATATGTGAAATAAAATGTAAGTATACCACTACCACTTCAACACAGAAATTGGATACCATTATATTAATAGATCATAAATAAGGCTACAATTATGTCATGGAAGTCATGGATTCCATGACTTTCTGTGACTTCTGCAGCTGGAGCGGCAGGTGCGCTCTCCCTGGCGCCAGCCGCTCAGGTGCCCTGTGGCCAGCCTCACCGGTCGCTGTTGGAGCAGCCATGGGGTCAGCCACACCAGTCGCTGCTCAGGTGGTCCCGGGCAGTTGGCCCCAAGAAGCACCTGAGCACCAGTGCTGGAGACTGCCCCAGGGCCAACGTCACCAGGGCTGGCCGCTTGGGTAGTTTCCGGGACCGGCTGGACTGGCCACTGCTTGTGTGGCCCTGGGCAGCTGGCACCGGCGACTGCCCGAGCAGTGGCCCGTGTGGCTGGCCCCAAGGACTGCCTGAGCATTGGTCCTGGGGGTGACCCCAGGGACTGCCCAAGAAGCAGCAGTCCCAGGGGCAGCAGGAGCAGCGGCCCCGGAGGCCCTCAGGAGAGCGGTCCCCAGGAGCCATGGAGTAGTGGGCCGCTGGGGGCAGTCCCCCCACTGCTGGAGCAGAGCGCCCCCAGGAGCAGAGATTTAGTTATCATGGGTATTTATAGTAAAAGTCATGGACAGATCACGGGCCGTGAATTTTGTTTCTTGCCTGTGACCTGTCCATTACTTTTACTAAAAATACCTGTGATTAAATCATAGCCTTAATCATAAACTTTGAATTCACTATAGATAATGGGGATGGTTACAAGATCACACTCATTAAACCAAGGAATATCTATTGTGAGGGTTTTCACACTCTCTGAAAAGATTTCCATTTTATTCCATATTCCACCTATATTAAAAATAGCTAAATTATAAGCTGATGTAGCTTTAGTATCCACAATTTTATTTAGAAAGCACAGACAAAGAACTAAAGCAAACTCAAAAATACAACTCAAAGATACATTATACTTACTTCCTCCATGGCTCTTCTGGAGAAACAGATACAACAACATCAATTGGTAAGGTCAAGTTAACGTAGTGGTGTCTCTTGTTTTCCCTTTCAATGACTGGGGCTACAGCTGCCAAAGGAGATGTCATTTCCAACATAAGGTCTACATTTACTATCTGCTGCTGAAAAGAATAAAGACAGTTACATGCACTAATAATACATGTCCAACAATACATGCACCAAGAAGGGATAGAAGAAAAAAGTAGATTCGTAAGACCCATGGAGGTGAAGGGGCTTCAGGGACAGCAAATGTTAAGAACCCCAAAACAAAACAGGCTCTTCACAACCCCAATTAGATGTAATGAGACAGATGAAAGGAAGGTTCATTTTTGAACAATGTCAGAGGCCAGACACAAATAACTGAGCTAAGATATCTAACAGTACTAAAGACTATGGGCCTGCTTCTGCATGCTCATCTGTGCAGGTGGATCTTTGCATTCATGCAGAGAGCACCGTTGACTTCAATGGCGTTCTCTGTGGATGCAAAGGTTTGCTTATGTGGATCAGCTTGTGAGAAAAAAAGCATTTATTTGTTATAAGCTGTTAATATGGGTGGAATATATACCATATCTTGGAACTTTTTATCCTTCTTTTTTGCAAGTTTTCTTTTAGTCTCATCTTCTTGGTCAAATCTGCAATATTAACAGAGAGAAACTAATAATATGAAATTAATTTATTACAAAAATTATGATGTTCCCATTGTTTCACATATACTCACCGAATAAATCGTATTATCTCCTTACAAACAGAATTATCAGTTAGTTCTGATGGAACTGTGTTCATACTGCTGTTAGGCCATACATACACTGAACTATGGCAAATTCTTAATACCAGCACATTTGAAGACAGTTTGGTCGACAGATCACTGAAAACATACTTTACTGCCTTTTTCGCTGAAGTCTCTAAAACAGAATAAGGATATAATTAGTGTTGTTCAAATAATTCCCTAACTTTTATTACAGCTACCAGATGTACACTTAAAGTTAAAATGTTTAATTCTGTCCTTGAAAAAGAAAAAAAAGGAAGTGTTGCTATGATCAGATAAATGGCTATGTGAAAATAGTCATCAAAAATCCTGGTCCCACTGTAGTCAATGGCAAAACTCCACTGAAATCAATGGGGCCAGGATTTCATTTGGCTTCTTTTTACTTTACAGATCTACTCCAACTATACACAAAAATCATATCTGCTTACTCTAGTGCAGGGTGGCCAAACTTACTGACCCTCCGATCCGCATATGACAATCTTCAAATGTTTAAGAGCCAGGATGTACCTGTTCAAGCTCAGGGCTTCAGCGTTACAGGGAGGAGGGTCTTGGGGCTTCAGCACTGAGCCTGGCAGGCGTGCTACATGGGGTTGAAACCCTGAGACTCCCCTCCCTGCTGGGCAGAAGCCAGAGGTGATGCATGGGGGGACACGTGGGGTTATGTCCCACTCTCCATTTTTGCCAGGATTTGCTAGCCCCGCTTGGTCACATGGTGCCGCAGGGCCCCTTCCCTTCATGGCAGCTGCTGGAGCTGGTGAGCTGCAGCCATGGGGAGAGGCAGTGACAAACAGCTGGGAGCTGCAGAGACAGCCACTACGTTTGCTGCTTCCTCTCCCTGCGGAGCTAAAGCAGCAACCCTTCCCTGCAGCTCCCAACTGCCTCTCCACAAGGAGCTAATACCTGTGAGCTGCAGGAGGGGGTGCTGAGGGTAAGACGGGGAGTGTGGCTGGTGGGTGTGACTCAGGTTGTTGGGTGGGGGACGAACCTTTAAATTGTGCTCCCCTCTCCCCCCCCCGTAGGCACCAGAAGCCCCTACCTCACCACAGGGCAGAAGCCGTGAGCTCTCCCCCAGTCTGGAAGGCACAGAATGGGGGAGCGGGAGAGGGGAATGTGGAGGGATCCACAAGCTGCATTTTATAAAAGAGCAGCATGTGGCTCATGAGCCACAGTTTGGCCACCCCTGCTCTAGCGCTTGAACAAAACTTTAATATTGCCTTTTACTTCTGTTACCCTTGCAGAGCCAACATGGCTAGAGAAGACTGTGCTGGATTATATTCTGGTTCAAACATCAAAAACAGCATTGTTAATAGGGCTGTCAAGCGATGTAAAAAATTAATCGCAATTAATCACGCAATTAAAAAAATTAATCAAGATTAATAGCATGATTAATCACATTGTTAAACAATAATAAAATACAATTTACTTAAATATTTTGGGAGATTTTCCACACTTTCTAATATATTGATTTCAATTACAACACAGAATAAAGTGCACAGTGCTCACTTTATATTTATTTTTGATTACAAATATTTTCACTGTAAAAACAAAATAGTATTTTTCAATTCACCTAATACAAGTACTGTAATGCAATCTCTTGTAAATATAAACAAACTTGTTTGTTTTAGCGATTGACTGAACAAGAAGTAGGATTGGGTGGACTTGTAGGCTCTGAAGCCTTACATTGTTTTGTTTTTGAGTGCAGTTATGTAACAAACAAAAAAATCTACATTTGTAAGTTGCATTTTCATGACAAAGAGATTGCACTACAATACTTGAATGAGGTGAATTGAAAAATACTATTTATTTTATCATTTTTAGTGCAAATATTTGTAATAAAAATAATATACACTTTGATTTCAATTACAATACAGACTACAATATATATGAAAACGTAGAAAAACATACGAAATATTTAATAAATTTCAATTGGTATTCTATTATTTAACAGTGCAATTAAAACTACAATTAATTTTTTTAACCACAATTAATTTTTTTGAATTAATAATGAGTTAACTGCGATTGACAGCCATAATTGTTAACTAAAGCTCCATCCTGCAAACACTTGCACATATGCTTAGGTGAGTAAATTCTGCAAAAACTCAAGTATGTATATAACTCACAGACTTTAGTGGGACTACTCACAAGTGTAAAGTTACACACATGCTTAAGTCTTTGCAGAATCATGACCTACCTCCCAACTGCAGAGCTACATTCCAGCTTTATTTACACCTGAGAAACCTCACTATCTTTAGTAGAGTTGTACAGGTAGTAGGTGAAGGCAAAATTTCTCCTGTGGAATCTTTACTGCTGGTGATTATGAATGAACCACAAAGAATACAGTTTGACTTTCAGATCTCCATTTTGAGTCTGAAGTAATGGCAATTACAAAAAAACCCATATTTTTACTTGTATGCTGAGCAAATATATATTGCAATCCGTAAATTAAAACAATATTTGACTAGTCCTGTTATGTCACCCAGAATTCAGAATGCAGCAAATTATGCAAAGGCAATCATAGCTATGCATTTCCCCTTTTTTAAACATGATTAAGTTACTGTAGACCAATGTAATATATTTTGCATTAAAAGTCTGGGACTGATACCTGTAGTAATTAAAGTATATAAAAATACACCACAACCTGTGTAAACAAAAATATAATGGAACCTTCTTGAGTGAAGGCCCTCACTCTCGCCACATGACCACTTTTCTATACATAAGGAGGTTCTTTATTAGAAGAATATTAAGTTGCAAAGTACACTGCACTGAGATAATTTGGGACTTTTGTTCTGCTTCACTGACAGTGAAATTCACCCTTTTCTAAGCAAAGTCCAAGTAATGAGTCTTTGTGTGAGGAATTAAAAAAGGGATGGTGAGGCTGGAATCCAGAAACAGAATACTGTGCTTCATCGGAATGCATTCACCACCTCTATTCCAGACCACGAGCTTGAAGCCTCCATGCAGGCCACTGTGGCCCTACCAATGGTCTCCACTTGTGAGTTTATTTAGGATTGGTGCAGAATCCTGTGCAACTAAATATTTGGGTGCAGAAGCCTCTGAATGGCTGCTCAGTACACACCCTCTTCCTGTACGGCCTATGGTGGAGCTTATGTGGCACAGACGACCTTGCAGGAGTTTTGCTGTACCTGAATTCATTGTAAACAACTGTCACTTTAAAACAATTTTCAGGGTTTCAGAAAGATTTTAGGGAAGGGTGGGGAAAGTCAAAAATGATCCTAATACACATCCCATAAGTGGTATAAATTTGGAAATTAAAAAAAAAAGACCTAAAATTACTGATTTTGGTATTGCTTTAAACTAAAAAAAAAAAAAAAAAAAAAAGGTGTGTAGTGGAAGGGAGGAAGTTGTCAGGAAATGAAACATGAAAGGGAAGTCAAAAAATGAAATCATCATCATGCACTGATCCTTTAGGGTTTGGAGAGAAATCCTAAGTATTTGGTGAGCAGGTGACGAAATTATTATATCCAGTGCGGTTAGTTAATTCTCTCCTATTCAGACTTTACACTCCTATGAGGTGATCCTATGATATTCTTATAGACACACCATCAGCAGTATCCAGCTGAAATGCAAGATCCAGGCCTCCTCTTATTCTAAAGAGTATGTCCATAGTTTCCAGAATTACCTATACAGAAAAAAGAAGTTGAGTTATAAAGTTAATAGAAATGAGTAGCATAAGACAGTTACTTCAGTGACGTTTCCCAAAAGTTGCAATGAGAACATAGCTCATTAAAACAGGATTACTTTTTATCACACAGTATTAACCGCATACTTTTTAAATCCAGGAAGTGTTTTAGATGTAACTAAAGAACTCCAACTGCTTTAAATTTGAAATTGTTTGTTTTTAGATTCCATTTTGTGTTTCCCATCTTTGCCTCTACCTCCTAGTTGAAGGCAGGACTGGAACTGCTCTGCTGATTAACTTGGTAGATTAGATGGGGAGCTGAGTGCCTCCCATCTGCAATGTTGGGACACTGCGGCAGGTAACAGGAAATTTCCCCTCTACGACCTTCTTCAACTGTTCATTTTTGGAAGGGAAGCCACAGTCTCAGCAACTAATAAGGAAGAACTCAAAACCTCTGGACTCATGAGGACTCAGTGAACATACAGAAGGGGATCTGCCAGTTAGCTGCTCCTAAAGAACTGCAAAGAGCAGCCAATGTAAGATCATTTGGAAATACAGAACTATCATCACATCTCTCTTTGGTGACAAAGTGTGGGAGACTTCCAGGTTCAAAGCTAGCCCTGTATTTTGATTGTTTTATTTCAATTCCACCTATAACACATGTTTGACTTCCATTAAAACATCCTAAATAGAAACACAAGACGAAACAAACTATAGAAAGATAATGTGACATGGGAAATTTATCTGAAGTGTCACAACCACTTGCACTTTAAGCAGTATCAACATGTAGTTAAGCTTTAAAGCAAGGGTGTGGACCCATTTTTCTATCAGGGGCCATCGACTGGGGGGGTGGGCTCTGGGGATGTGTGGTTTGGAGTGCAGGAGGGGGCTCAGGGCTGGGGCCAAGGGGTTTGAAATGTGAGAGCGGGCTCAGGGCTGGGGTGCAGGAGGAAGTTTGGTGCAGGCTCCAGGAGGGAGTTTGGGTGTGGGAGGGGGCTCAGGGGTTGGGGTGCAGAGGGGGTTCTGACCTGGGGCAGGGGGTTTGGATTGGGGGCTCCGGCCAGGTGGTACTTACCTCAGGCAGCTCCCAGTTGGCAGTGCAGCGGGGCAAAGGCAGGCTCCCTGTCTGCCCTGGCTCCGTGCTCCTCCTGGAAGCAGTCACCATGTCTGGCCCCTAGGTGGAGGAGCTAAGGGCTCTGCATGGTGCGTGCTGCCCATGCCTGCAGCTCCTGGCCAACGGGAGCTGCAGAGCTGGCGCTGGGGGCAGGGGCATCACACAGAGCCACCCTGATTGCCCCTGCTCCTAAAGGCTGCAAGGATGTGCTGGTCGCTTCCGCGAGCTGGAGCCAACCCTAGCTTCCCCTATGCAGCAGGGCGAGCTGGCGCTCACAGCTCCAGCCCTGCAAGGGGGCGCTGAGGCTCGGGGCTTTTGGCCCACAGACATGCCACGGGCCGGATGAAATGAAGCAGTGCCACATCTGGCCCACGAGCCGTAGGTTCCCCACCCCTGCTTTAAAGCTTCCAGTCTTTCTATGAAGCGATGGACCTGCCCAATAAAGTAAACTTCTTGATAAAGTTACATCTAAACTACATGTTCAATATATTGGTGGTCATTTAAAAAAATCCTTTAAAAAAAAAAAAAAAACCAAAATTTGACCTTTAAGTAGCACAGTTTATTTCAACAGTGGAGTCAACAACGCACATTTATATGCTACCAAGTGCGCAAGGCACTTTCAAACATGTCATACGACAATATCTCTGTCTTGAGGAGCTTACAGCGTGAGACCTTGTTCCTGTAAAGCTTCACATAGGTTTCTGAATACAAAGGGGCTGCATGTGAGGCCAGGCGTCTGACCATGTGGCGCTCCATGCAGGACTGAGGGGTAAATTAGATGGTTACAACATAACAAGGAGGCTCATAACTGGAGGACAGCACTGGAAAACAAGTGGCTTTTGAGAAGCGGATTACAGAGGTCGCTTGGCACAACACCTGGTTTAGTTGGTAAGGCACTGGACTGGGACTCAGGAGACCTAGGTGAATTCCCAGCTCAGCCACAGGCTCCACCTGCCCTTCCCCAAATCACCTCCCTGGGACTTGGTTCCCCGCACTCCCCTACCTCCAGGGCTGGCAGCGGGGAGGCCAATCTCTGCGTCATGCTGGGAGGGGCCCCAGGAAACATGATTTGCTCGGGCCCCACATTTCTCCCCGGGCCCCGGCTCACCCGCAGGTAAAGCACGAGGAGGCACCAGGCAGGGACACAGCGCGACCAAGGCCCCAAGGGCGGGCAGGAGCTTGGCGCTGAGCCAAGGCGGGAGCGGAGATGGGGGACGAGGGACCCCAGCAGGGGAGGCGCCCGCGCGGACGTAGCGACAGGCCGGCGACGTAGTGGCACAAGGGTCACTCCGAGCTGCGGCCCCTCGAGAACGGGCCGGGCCGGGGGCGGGCACCGTTAGACCCGCGGTGACAAGAATTCGACAGTGAGCGCACCACGTGGGAGAGAAACTCCCAGCATGCACCGAGCCGGCTGCCCTCTCCCCCGCCCAGCAGAAGCGCCTGAGCCGCTGTTTTAGCCACCCCAGCGGCGCGGACTCACCACGTCTGTCAGCACCGTACTCATAGTCCGCACGCGCCTCTCCCCCACCCCGATGGGGGGTTGGAACAGGCCGGTTCTCTTGCACGCGCCGTAATGTTTGACGTGTCACTCCAGCAAGAGAAAGGCGGCAGGCCGAGAACGCCAGGGCAGGTCATGTGAGCGAAGGCGCTGACAAGAGGGGACTACAATTCCCAAGGTGCAGCGCGGGTGCGCGGCGCGCGCAACCTCTGGACTATACCAACAGGACTCGACAGACCGGGGGGACAACACTGAAATGCTGTTCATGTGTTGTTGGACTTTCCCGAATCCAGAGTAACTGCATCAACAAAGAGTCCTGGGCAGAGTCCTGTACCTCTCAGAAGCTGCTGCTGCTGCTGCCGCCGCCTGGGGATGCAGAGAGGAGGGGGCAGCCGCTGACCCTCTGCAACACACCTGGCGAGGTTGGTGTGAGGTGAGTGAGAAATCAGTCCAGACGTCCTCCTTAAAGCGTGTGCTGCGGATTATTCCCTCTCTATGCGGCTCACCTCAGCCACTGCAATTAACAGTCAGTCGTTACTGTAAAGGAAGATTTCATGCAAATTGTTTAATCATGCAAATATATGCAATAATTGATGCTGTAATGATATTTATGCATTGATTAGTCATACGCTACTGTAATTATAGTTACAAAAATATATTTACGTGTATGTAAACCGATGTAGTTATATTTGTGTGTTTGTATGTAACTGGTGGTTACATCATCATTTAAAATCAGTTTTTACTTTTTTAACAGTACATTGCAATTCTGCAACATCTTCCATCCAAAAAGCTTTACAAATATTAATACATTAAATTGCTCAACATCCCTGAGAGGCAGGTAAAATATATTATACACCATATATTCTTAATGCAGGGCTCAGTAGTCTCTTTATATGCTGATTAGGGGACCGATCCTGAGAAGAGCTGAGCACCCATAGCTACCATTGACCTCAATCATTTACATTTTTGAAGTCAGTGGGAATTGTAGCTGGTCAGCACTTCTCAGGATCAGGATTTAGGTTACCACAATAGGGATCCCAAAACTCCTTCACATCTCCTGTCTATTGTTAACCAAGGATGACTACAAAGCACAGCTGAAGGTAATCCAGAAAGCAAAAGGATATGCTATCCTGCATATCCTTACCATCGAACTGCACTACTCAGATCCCTGATCTCAATATTTTAAGGGTACTCGTTACCAAATTCTGATCCAGAGGTTTTAATAAGAGTTGAACCCAGTTACACCACAGATGAATGTGGGCCATATCTGTCTCATAATGGTTTTAAATTTGTTTTTTTAAAGGACATGTGTTAATGCTGGCTCTCTCCCAGACAGTCTAGTTCAGTCCTCTTCTCACCATCACCACCCCAGTTATGTCCTACTTTATAGATAGTGTTACATGCTGAGTACAACAGAAACTTAAAGGAATTGAGTGCTAATACTTTTGAACCAAAGAATCTCAGTACCATAATGGTACATTTTATTTTAAATGCTTAAACTTGTTGCAGACTTTGACTGTAACTCTATTTGTATGGCTTTGCAGTAAAAGAAGTGAGCATAAGAAAACATCTACATTTTCTAGTGTAGTGAAGTGTCACACAGAACCAACCATGCCTGGAGAAGGGAAATCTGACATGGAGAGGATTGGCCTCTTCAGTGAAATGGAGTATGTTACCATTGGAGATAAATATGTCACACATTATATGCGTAAGTACATTTCATTTTAGCAATAAGGATATTTCCAATAGCCGTCTAATCTGTCTTTCTACTGACTCACTGTTTTCTATTAGTCTTTTCAGAGACATCTGGGTTTTCTTAGTAACCAAAAAGCTCTCTATCTTTGCTCAGTGTGGCATAATCCATTTTTAGTAGAGGTCTGCTTAAATGTCACAATAAATGCAAAAAGAGACAGCATAAAAAAGGTAAACATTTTTCAGTTTAGCCGAGTTTTATGTATTAAGATTAATAAAAATATATGTGCTGCATTTTGTTGTCCAAGTTACAGATAAAATATACTATTGAAATTACTGGTCTTTACCTACCAGCTGGTGGGGAGTAGGTGTCACCTCCAGTGACTCATCCCCTTTCTCTATCATAATTGTGGAGATTTCCAGGGGCTTCTTTTCATCACACCATGGGATATAAGTGGTGGTAGGGTTCCAGCTGCTCCATGCAAAGACATTGCAAATGGATTTACTTTTAGACTTTTGGGATAGTACATATTCTTTTGGCTTTCCACATTGGGCATTCTTTCCCTTGGAAATGTCAACTCACAGATTGTGTAGCCCTCCAGCATTTGCACGTCCCAAATGAGGGCAGCATTTTTTAAAATTTATAATGTCCTTATGACTCAAATTTTAAATTAATAGCTGTGACTTTTGAGAAATGTAGATAAATTATGTAAAATTAGGTTAACAGGCGACCAATTAAAATTTATGAAACCCCTGACAAACCAGGTAAAGTAGATTACTCTATAGGATATGTATAGCATTTAATTACTTCTTTGAAATGAACATTTTAAGAAATTAGGTCCTTTGAAACTGTTTCCCAATTGTACTGAAAGAAAACAAAAAATGGGACACCAATTTTCTTTGTCAGTCAATATGCAAATTATCTTCATTATTTTGAATATTCTGCTAAAAGACTCAGCTGCAGAACAGCATTAATATGATGACTTAATCCAACAGTAAATTGCTCCACAGTTTTGCTCCTCGGTTATCTTTGTTTGCATTTGTAATGTTAAAACTGAACTGGCATTATGGAAAGCCTTATCTTCTCCTTACATGCCAATGCTGAGAGCAGGTAGTTTTTTCTGTGTGGCTGCTCCAACTGGCATTTCTGTTATAAGATTATGTTTTCAGTACTTTAAATTTAGTGGTAATCTTTTATTTCTTTGCTTGTAGTTGACCAATGTGCATAGGAGATTATATATTTATTTATTTATTTATTACTTAGGGCTGGATTCTTTCATCCTCACTCTTGTTCATTGGAACTACTCATGGTATTACTCATGATGAGTCCAGGATAACAGAGTTTGACCCTCAGTAAGAATCAGCCTTTGTGAAGTGATGTTCATAGATTCCAAGGCCAGAAGGGACAATTGTCTGACCTCCTGTGTAACACAGGCCATAGAACTTCCCCAAAACTAATGCCTAGCGCAGATCTTTTAGCAAAGCATCCAATTTTGATTTTAAAATGATCAGTGATGGAGAATCCATCATGACCCTTGGTAAATTGTTCCAATGGCTAATTATTCTCACTTAAAATATCACGCCTTATTTCCAGTCTGAATTTGTCTAGTTTCAACTTCCAGCCATTGGATCCTGTTATACCTTCCTCTTCTAGATAATGCTAGATGTTAGTGCAGAATAGTTATGGCCTCCCTCCAAAAGCTGCTAATAGCAATGGTATTTTTGTGTTATGGTGCATGCCACTAGAAACTTGACTGAGTCAAACAATTCATTTTTCATATATTAGGTTACTGAACAGTTGCCATATAGTATCAGCAATCAGTCACTACCACATGTGACTTACAGATGAAAGGTTCTGTATTGCATTATCAGCCCCTTTGAACCATCCATACCCAGTCTTCATTTTTAATTTCTAAATTTAAATTAAGAGAATCTGTAGAGTTAAGTGAATATTTACAATGCTTACTTGTTTTAAAGGCCCTTTCAATGAAGCTGCAAGCAAGAACAAACAAATGTTACCTGGGGGTACCAAAATGCTGTCAGCTCTTCAGGCAGGTTACTTTGAGCCTCAGTTTGTGAGGGTTTTCGAAGGTGAAGCCTACTCAAACCCTGTGCAACTAAGGAGGCGATATAGATTGGCAGAGTCAAAGAAAAATATGGGCAAAGCTTTCCTTCCAAGCAATGGAGTCAAACTGCCGTAAGTGTTGGGAAAGGCTGCCTTTTTTGTGTGTGTGTGCTGCATTAAAAATAATTTGTCACAACTTTTTTATAAAAGTTAACTGTTAACAAGAGTATGGTTTTGTTTTTATGAGAAGATATGTACAACATATGATAAAGAAGCAGTGTTAAAACACAGTACTGCCATAGTCCATACACCTAATAACCAACATAAACTTAAAGAGACATTAAAGATCTCTAGCAGAATATTGTGTGAAGCTAAGAGTACTGCATCATGGGAAATGGGACTAACAGAATCCACTATCCTGAATTTCTCTATTTCCATTGCCAGAGTTCCATTACCTTGGAGTTTTTATAATACCTAATATTAAAGCATGATCACTCCTCAATGCTGGAGACAAATGGGCGCTACCAGGATAAAATCACTACCAATTGAAAACATCATGGGATGACACCTCTATGACTGAGTTGGTCAGAGGATACAGAGACATAAATAGCCTGCAGTGCATTTGATGTTTTGATGAAAATATTTATCTATCTGAACAAAGACCCCATGTAGCTTCACACAATTACAGTTAAAGCAAGAGTTCATGTATCTGTTATTGGGCTAAGCAGTTTTCCTGCTTTTGGGGCTTTTTAATAAAAATACAGACAGGCAGGGGGAAAAGTCTGTTATATTGAAAAATGTATGCTGTCCAATCCATTTATTAAAACACAAGGATTGTCTTAAAGGGATATTAAAAACTATGGGCCAGACTCTGGCAGGTATTTACAATCAGGCATAATGTCCCCACTCTGCTTCTGTGTCCCCAAATGTACACTTATCCTGTGTACACTGTAATGTATATGTGTCCATAATTAAGGCTAAGATTTTGTCAGGGATATTTTTAGTAAAAGTCACGGACAGGTCACAGGCAATAAAGAAAAATTCACAGAAGCCCGTGATCTGTCCGTGACTTTTACTAAAAATATCCCTGATAAAACGGGGAGCTCAGCTGCAGGGTCCCCACACCACTTGCAGATGTTGGGCAGCTGTGGGGGCTGCTTCAAGCTCTAGGGGTCCCTGCTGCCCTCAGTGGCTCAGAGCTCCCGGGTGACTTGCAACTGCGGCCCCACTGCCTGTGGCAGCTGGGAGCTTGTGGGGGCGGAAGGGCGCCACCCACAGAGGCAGGGAGCTGTGGGGAGACCCCGTTGCCCAATGCGGCCAGGAGCTGCAGCCCTGCCCCAGCTGATAGGGCTGACTTCCACAACCTCCATGAAAAAATTGTAGCCTTGTCCATAATATATAGGTGACTTTGTGCCTCACAAAGAGCCTACACCACTCTCTTCTTACTAGGAGTAGAGATAATCTTTGAGGGTGACTGTTTGCAGGGGATATTCAAAAGTCAAGGAATGCATACGGAATAATATCCAAATTATCATGTCTTTGCACTCTATACCACATTAATAATATGAGGAGAGCATATGGACACAGTTGGATTCTAAATAGCCATGTTTACTAACTATATATAAAAATATAAAGCCTAGCTACATATATACCCTGCTGCTTTGCCAGTGTTCTGGTGGCTTCTGCAGTACTCACTACACCAGTGGTCTCCAACCTTTTTACGCCCAAGATCGCTTTTTGAATATAAGGGCAACCCAGGATCTACTCCACCCCACTCACTCCATCCCCGCCTCTTTCCGTAGTTTGCTCTCCCCCACCCTCACTCACTTTCACCGGGCTGGGGCGGAGGGTTGGGGTTCGGGAGGGGATGCGGGCTCTGGGCTGGGGCCGAGGGGTTCGTAATGTGGGAAGGGTCTCTGGGCTGAGTGTGGGGCAGGGCATTGGGGTGCAGGAGGGGATGAGGGGTGCAAGCTCAGGGTGGGAGTTTGGGTGCACGAGGGGGCTCCGGACTGGGGCAGATTGTTGGGTTACAGGAGGGGGTGGGGGTGCTGGCTCTGGGAGGGGGCTCTGGGTTGGGGTGTGGCTCCTGCCAGGCAGCACTTATCTCCGGCAGCTCCCGGTTGGCGGTGCTGCATGGCTGCTGCTAAGGCAAGCTCCCTGCCTACCCCGGCCCCACGCCGCTCCCGGAAGGGGCCAACACGCCCCTGCGGTCCCTGGGGAGATGGCAGGCAGAAGGTGGCTCTGCACGCTGCTGCTCTCTGCAAGCACCGCCCCTGCAGCTCCCATTGATCACAGCTCCCCATTCCTGGCCAATGGGAGCTGCAGGGGCGGTGTTTGCAGGCAGGAGCAGCATGCGGAGGGAGACCCCTTCCACGCCCACCCCCGGGGCCACGCTGGCCACTTCTGGGAGCAGCGTGGGGCTGAGGCAGGCAGAGAGTCTTAGCGGCAGCCCTATTGTGCTACCGGAGATCGTGATCAACTGGGACATCCTCTAGGATCGACCAGTCGATCGCGATTGACCGGCTGGTGACCACTGCACTACACAAACCAGTTATTGGCTATGTCCAGTCATCTCTCTGTGGCTTGGGTTGTGAAAAGCTTGGAGAGTAGCCTCTTGTTCATTTTTTTGAGGAGCCAGGATTGGTCATTTTCTGCCATATGCTCTAGAAATACCATGGGTGTATATGCTATTTTGTTGATGCATACTTATGCACATAGGAAGCCAGAATTTGGCCATCTAAGTAGGGCTTTAATTTCACTTGTCTGTAGTTGGATTTTCCCATTTTTTCAAATGGAAGATTGCTAAAAAGTATCTCCCAGATATCAGAAGGCTTGGAGAGGAAATGGGGCTTCTTCAACCAAGAGTCATCTGGGCTGAGATTCTGTTAATGGCTGTGGTGTCTAGTGGGAACAGTGTACCTTATTTTCTTTTCCTGCACATTTCAGTATGCTTGAAAATCTGTTCATCATACACTTTGTCTGGTCATTCATCATAAATATCCAGGAACTGGCCCCTTTCATCTACCATGGACTGAATCACAATGAAGTAGAAGGCCCAGATCCTGGCCTGTGTCCAAGCTGTGCTCTGTTATGTGCGTACAAAGGTGGTTTTAAGCCATCTTTATGTCCCATTTCTCCACCGAGTTCTGAGTCCATCCTCTCTCCCCAGTGCAAAGTAGATCAGTCTCACACCATAGCCCCTCCACTAGAGAGGTTGGAAATCAGGTGGTTCTAGGAGCCTGTACAGTTGACCCATAAAGAGGGAATCATTCACTGACAGTTGAGCAGCCGTAATGGGGATGTAGGAGCTGGTGTGTATATGCCTGTGCTATCTTTGGTGAGCAGAGAATGGGGAGGCGAGTGCTAGCCCACTATAGTTAAGGGAGACCCACTCAGTCAGACACTTCTGTTACCTCTGCGATATTTTCTATAGAAACCACCCCAACCCAATAGGATTTAATTGCCATGCACACCTAGCCCCGAGCTCAAGTCCGCTGAAGTCAATGGAAGGTTGCCTGTGCTACCTTAATTTGGCCCTCTTGTACATAGGCATTGGGGTACAGTGGTTACATAATCATAGAATCATAGAATATAAGGGTTGGAAGGGACCCCAGAAGGTCATCTAGTCCAACCCCCTGCTTGAAGCAGGACCAAATCCCAGTTAAATCATCCCAGCCAGGGCTTTGTCAAGCCTGACCTTAAAAACCTCTAAGGAAGGAGATTCTACCACCTCCCTAGGTAACGCATTCCAGTGTTTCACCACCCTCTTAGTGAAAAAGTTTTTCCTAATATCCAATCTAAACCTCCCCCACTGCAACTTGAGACCATTACTCCTCGTTCTGTCATCTGCTACCATTGAGAACAGTCTAGAGCCATCCTCTTTGGAACCCCCTTTCAGGTAGTTGAAAGCAGCTATCAAATCCCCCTCATTCTTCTCTTCTGCAGGCTAAACAATCCCAGCTCCCTCAGCCTCTCCTCATAACTCATGTGTTCCAGACCCCTAATCATTTTTGTTGCCCTTCGCTGGACTCTCTCCAATTTATCCACATCCTTCTTGAAGTGTGGGGCCCAAAACTGGACACAGTACTCCAGATGAGGCCTCACCAATGTCGAATAGAGGGGAACGATCACGTCCCTCGATCTGCTCGCTATGCCCCTACTTATACATCCCAAAATGCCATTGGCCTTCTTGGCAACAAGGGCACACTGCTGACTCATATCCAGCTTCTCGTCCACTGTCACCCCTAGGTCCTTTTCCGCAGAACTGCTGCCTAGCCATTCGGTCCCTAGTCTGTAGCTGTGCATTGGGTTCTTCCGTCCTAAGTGCAGGACCCTGCACTTATCCTTATTGAACCTCATCAGATTTCTTTTGGCCCAATCCTCCAATTTGTCTAGGTCCTTCTGTATCCTATCCCTCCCCTCCAGCGTATCTACCACTCCTCCCAGTTTAGTATCATCCGCAAATTTGCTGAGAGTGCAATCCACACCATCCTCCAGATCATTTATGAAGATATTGAACAAAACCGGCCCCAGGACCGACCCTTGGGGCACTCCACTTGATACCGGCTGCCAACTAGACATGGAGCCATTGATAACTACCCGTTGAGCCCGACAATCTAGCCAGCTTTCTACCCACCTTATAGTGCATTCTTCCAGCCCATACTTCCTTAACTTGCTGACAAGAATACTGTGGGAGACCGTGTCAAAAGCTTTGCTAAAGTCAAGAAACAATACATCCACTGCTTTCCCTTCATCCACAGAACCAGTAATCTCATCATAAAAGGCGATTAGATTAGTCAGGCATGACCTTCCCTTGGTGAATCCATGCTGGCTGTTCCTGATCACTTTCCTCTCATGCAAGTGCTTCAGGATTGATTCTTTGAAGACCTGCTCCATGATTTTTCCAGGGACTGAGGTGAGGCTGACTGGCCTGTAGTTCCCAGGATCCTCCTTCTTCCCTTTTTTAAAGATTGGCACTACATTAGCCTTTTTCCAGTCATCCGGGACTTCCCCCGTAATCACATTTTTCCACATGACCCCTGCCTCATTTAGAGCACAAGATGGATGTTGCTCACTTAACGAACAGCAATTTGATATTTTGTTTTCTCCTTATTGTTCACCATGTGCCCTAG